ATTCCAGTTTATTCCACTCCTCGTGCACGACCCGCTCGTCACCTGCTTTTCCTGGCTAACTTCTTGTCTCTCCTCACCTAACCAGTCGTCTTTCTCCGACTTTTCCACCTGCCGAATCGGTTCTCGGTTACTATTAAAAAACACGTCTGCACTGCGCCGCTTGAGATTGGCTCTGTTATCATATTTCGACTTTATTTCAATTGAAAATAATAAAAAAATAGAAATAGAATTTAGTTTATGAAGATAATTCTATTTTTATAGGACAAGGAAAAACAATTTGTCTATATTTTGTACCTACTCGTTTCTCATAGGCATATCAAATTGTTTATTATCATTTAAAAGTTTCTTAACTATTATTATTTTTCATTTTTTAGTAAAACAGAAATTTTATTTATCCAAAAACTTATAAATATATTATATTTTTGTCCAATTTTTCTGTTGGAAAAAAGATTGTACAAATTAATTAAATAAAATAAATTAGACTTCCACCACTGCGCTTGACTTAGGAACTCTCTGATTGAACATTAGTTGTTGGGGGTATAATGGCTAATTGTTAAAGGGTTAGGGCCCATTTATATTTAGAAAATTGAAGAACGAAAGTTTTTTTTTTTTTTTAAAAAAAAAAAAAGCCCATTTATATTTTAGATAAAATTGAAGAACGAAAGTTTTTTTTTTTTTTTTTTTTTTTTTTTTTAAAAAAAAAAAAGAAAAGAAAAATAGAGTTAGTGTTTCTAGCTGCAATTTTTCATTTGAAGTTTTTTAGAATTTAATTAGTATTTGAAAAATTAGATTTAATTTGTTATTCACTATTTTTCTTTACAACAAAAACAGTTTTAAAAAAATGACTTTTGATAATAAAATTAGTCACCAATTGATAAAATATTGTTAATATTATTAAAATATATTTTTATTATTAACAATGGAACACATTTTTTTATTTTAAAAAAAAATATTTCAAACTTTAAATATTAATGGAGATAAAGTTTCATAAAACAATGTTTCAAACTCTAAACGTTAGAGTAGATATTATATTACAGAATATTATAATTAATTAAGACTTTATCGTTAAACAATAGAAAGTAATATCATTTAACTCTCTTAATTGAATTATATTTTAATTCAATTGGAGATGAAATTAACAATTTTATTTTACTGTGCTGACGTGTTCTGTAAGAAGTAATAATGTGTTAACTTTTTTTTTTTTTTGAATATAATGAATTAATGTTGTTTCATAAGAAACGGTTTTTAATTAATTTTAATTAAATAAAATTTTCTTAATTAATTTATAACTAGCACCTATCATTAATTCTCTTATTTTAATTATAATGTAATGTAAGTAAAAGATGAAATTAACACTCTATTTTGTTACTTTGTTCACGTGATTTTATAAGAAACAATTTTAAATTCATTTTTTGTAAACATTTAATCATTTTTAAATTTAAAAGAATGTTATTTTATATATGTTTATTTTATATATACTATATATATATATATAATAAATATAGAAAGTGTATAAAATGAAAATTTATCTAAAATAATATGAGGAAAAATAAAAAAAAGGCTATAACAATATATAGTGAAAGAAAAATAATTTATTTCTCTTATATTCCAAAAAACAATAATTTCTTACAACTCTTAATCCTAGTTTTTATAATAAAAACAATACTTCCAATATTTTGTTGACTTAGTTATATAATAATTTAATCTTGTAGACAAATATAAAAGTGTATAAATGAAAATTTTATCTAAAAAATATGAGGAAAAATAAAAAAAGCTATAACAATATATAGTGAAAGAAAAATAATTTTATTTTCTCTTATATTCAAAAACAATAATTCTTACAACTCTTTATCCTAGTTTTTATAATAAAAACAATACTTCATATTTGTTGACTTAGTATATAATAATTTAACTTGTAGACAATATTACGAATCCTATATTGACATTAACATGTTCTAGTATATAATAATTCTAGTTTTTATAATAAAATCATTATAGTATTTATACAGTTTGATAATGCTACTTCTAGTAGATTTTTGTCAAAATATTTATTATCATACAAATATAAATATGTTCATTTTTGTCTTAGTTGGCACAACTTCATTATAAATTTTTTAAAATTATAATTTTATTGTCAACCTATAATAATTTTAAATTTTTTAAATAAAAATAATAATTAATAAAATTATTGATCAAATTAATTTCATCATTAATTTATTATTTAAAATAATCATCAAATACAATTTATATTCATAACTAGTTTAAAAATAAATACATGAAATACTATAGACAATAAGAAACTTTATTTATTTTTTTATACTGATATATACATCTAAAGGTCAAAATTAGTGTTGTATCTATCATCTTTAAGTAATTTACTCATTATAATTTTATTAGTTATTTTGAGGAAAAATTAGTATTTTATCAATTTATAATTTTTTAATGTGAATATATATAAAATTAGTCTTTTAAGGTGAATCTATTAAATATATAATATTCCTCAAAATGAACATGAGCATTTTGTATAAATAAAATTAAAAATAATTTTCATTAGTATTTTATCTTTAAAATTTTAATTTGATTCAATTTAAAATAAAAAATCATAAAAATATAAAATTTATATAAATATTATTGTTCTTGGGTTTAAATAAGATATCAAATATTATTATTTTATTGATTGAACTAATAAAAGAATAAATAAAGATTATTTTAAAAATGGTATTAGTAGAGCTCTATATAAGTTTATAATATTAATATTTAATTTGCCTTAAAAAAATTATTATCAACACTTAATAATTAATATTTGATGGATAATTGTTCAATATAAATGCACGTATTGATAGCACCTGATGTTAATAGTAATATATATATGTGTGTGTGTATGTGTGAACCACCAGAATTTTTAAATCTAATGATTTCGATATTATAAAAGAATACATGAAAAGATATGGAAATAAACCAAATTAACGAAAAAAGTGAAGCATAAATAATTTTTTATATAAATCAATGGTACATCAATAATCAATTTTATATATTATAAAATTAATTATTCAAATTATTTATAAATATGCATTAAACAAATGCAATGCAAAACTCAAATTAAGTTATACTTATATAAATTAAAAAATCAATTGAAAAATTTTAAATAAATAATCATTTAAGTTATGGCAATAATGTAATTAAAGAATAATAAAATGATTAAGTGAAAAAATAATATTGGATAGGAATATAATTAAATAAATATAAAAAAAATTAAGTGGGTAAATACCATTGTGGTAAGAATTTAGTTAAAGAATAATAAAAGGATTAAAAAAATGAAATAAAATTGTATTTAATAAATTATTAAAGAGCTAAGTGGGAAAAATCATTGTTATGTGAACGGTGATTTCCCATGCGGCTAAAATATATATAGTAATATCGTGGAAATTAGTTCATTATTTCCAAATGAACGATTTATATTAGGCATCAAAATTTAATTCGGTTATCTATATATAGGACTGAAATCGGTTATCTATAAATTTTATACCAATGTTAGGACAAAATAAATCAAAATAGATATGTTCAATTCGATTTTTCAGTCTTACCTAAATTCTATTCAACCCTATATGAAAGTATTTCTCATTATTTTGAAGATTTTTATATTTTATTGGTTAAAGTATTTCATTTCTTATGTAGAAGTTTTATATGAGGTATAGATCCTTTTTCCGAGAGGAGTTCGAGTTTGGAGCTAGCTTGATGAAATTCGCTGAAGGATTAGAAAGTTGAATAGAGGTTATTTTCACTCATTCAACACTTAAATTTACAAATTGAATATAATTAAATATTTTATTTGATTAATTAAATACCTCAATTGTAAAATTAGATCAGTTAAATTTATATAATGAAAAATATAAAAATTATTGTTTTAAAAATTAAATTAACCATATATCAAATCAATATTTTATATATATAGATAAAAAATATTAAAGATTGTTATTTTTAGTATAAGGAGGTATAATATTCTTACAGAAAGTGAAGTTTAAGGTGATACAATGTGATTTTAAAATTTATAATGTCACAAAATTTTTTCGGCAAAATTTAAAGTTAAAATATATACTCAACAAACAAAAATATGAACGAAGTTATCTCGTGTAACTCAACGGCAAACCATTAAATTTTAAGAAAAAAAAATCCATTAAAAATTTAGCCCCTAAATATATTTGTAGTAAATAGATACTTTCAAAAATAATTAAATTGTGACATAAACGTTTGAGAATATATAAAAATATATTGAAGTTGAGCATAAAAAAAAGAAATATTTATAATAACTCAAAGTTCATACTATTTTCAATTTAATTATATTTTTATATTAAATATATTATAAATAAATAAATAAATAATTATGAAATGATTTAGGTTAATATACCCATGAATATTAGATAAATATTCATTAATTTATCTACATATAATTTATTTTTATAAATCATAATTTTATTACTTTGGTGTTTGAAATTATAATTTAAAATTATTTTTTTGTCTGAAGAAGCGAGATACAGCTGATTATTACCTTTGAAAATTAACTTTCATGTGGGGTGAATTTAGGTTGAATTTCCATAAAAATTTGACTGTAGTAGACGAATGGTTAAATTATTACAAAAAGGAATTTAGCTTCATTATCAAGTTGTACTCTACTTATTCACAACATAACCAATGAAATTTTGCCATGTCAGTCCATTATGTCAGTGGCTGATTTCAAAATGACAAATTTACCCACGAAAATTAGCAGAAGTCGGTGAATCTGTCAGAGATAACGATGACGTGGCGGAAAATCATTGTTTGGTTAAAGAAGTAAACAAGTACAGCAATAGAATATTCAAACCCCATACTCATTGCCTTATTTTTTTAATTTTAATTTAAAATTTCTTTTTTTTCTTCTATTGGATAGGCGATTTTTTCAAAACCCAACAATTTAAAAAAAAAAAAAAACTTTTCCTATTCTTTTATTTTTCATTTTGTATTTTTACATAAAAGAAGAAAGCAGAAAGCATAGGAATTGGGGATGGAAGAAGCTTTTCCTCTCTCTTTCTCTTACACTCTCAAAGACTCTTCCTTTTTCTTTCTCTTTCATATTTTCTCGGGAAAATTTTTATTAAGAAGGGGAGGAGGTTTAATTCATTAGACCATTTTAGTCTTAGATATGTAAAAATTTTGTCTTTAACTTTCTAGCTGGAAGTAAGTGAAGCGGTAAGATTCTCTTGCAACCTTAAAAAGTATTGTTTGCTTCTTCTTTTTTTTTCCTGTACTTTTTTATCACGTACTTGTCTACTTCCTCTCTTTATTTATATTTATGTGTATGTATCTCTCTCTCTATATATATAACTGCCTTGTTTAAATATATATGCATTAATCTTTGTTGTTTGGATATAATGAGTGTTTGATCACAATGAAGGAAGATCTTTGTCACGGGTGGGTCTCTTTTTTGTATTTTGTTTTTTTTTTGGACTAAAAATTGGTGAGGATTTTGCCTGCAGAACTGGATCTTTTACTAGTCGATCTGGTTATTTTATTTATTTATTTTTGTTTTTTACTTCAATTGTTGCTAAGATTATTGGTTTTTGTTTTTTAGAATATTAAGATTATTGGTTTGAATGATGCTTTTCCTCTACTGTTTCTATTGTTTGTAGTTACATGTGTATGTGTGTTTCCCAATTGCTCAATCTGGATCTTTGGATCTTTGTTTTTGTTTTGATTTTGATTTCTGGGTTTCTTTCAACTATGAGTATTGATATTTTTTGAGATGATTCTTTAAAAAAATGTGTTTAGTTGCCGATAGAAGTGATGGAAGTGAGCATGAACAAAAGGAAAGATCGCATTTTTTTTTTTTAATTTCATTGTTGGTATTTTGATTTCTTATGTAAACTACCAAGAAATTCAATCTTTTCAATTTATTTTTAAATTTTTGTTTCTGTTTCATTGAGTTCTTGGTTTTTTATTCTTGAAAAAGAAATTACAACCTGCAAGTAATCATGGTGGGTTATACCCTTTTTGGTTCTTAAAGTTATAGTAACTACTATTGAAAGTCAGCTATTTTAAGGATTTTGTTTTGCAACATCTTTGTAGGCAAAATCTAAAGCGAGTCTAAACCTGCTTAGAGAATCTAAGGAAAATAATAATAAAAAAAAACCCTTTTCTGGGTTTTTGTCAAACTATTTGCCTGGAGCTTGATTTGCTTATTTGTTGTGTCATTTAGTGCCTTTTGATATTGTGTGGATCCTATGTAAACCTAGAAAAGGCACTTCTCTATATGGTGGTTTGATCCTAATCTTGAAATTGATATTCTTCATCATTACCCACTTTAGATTCTTATACATCAAGGGCCTGTTATTCTATTTTCTGCACTTTTTTTGCAGTCGCAATTACAATTTGTTTTGTTTTTATGGATCAGTGGGAAAGAAATTGGTCTCTTGTTTATTTTTGGGTTATTTACTTAGTTGGTCTACCAAAACGTTTTTTAGTTTTTATTCTTATTAATATTTGGTGTGTGTTGAGCTGATTATGTGATAATATTGTATAATTTTATTTATCTGCTTCAATTTCAGTTGTTCTTTTGACAAATGAAAGTATGTGCTGTGGATCGGAGCGGTTGAAGCCCTCACTGACTCCGACACTGCCTCTGATTTCCTTTGAAGAAAGTAGACAAGCCAATATAGACATGAATCACTTAACTGTTGAGACTGAAGATACTTTTGCAAGCTTGCTTGAGCTTGCAGCTAACAATGATGTTGAGGGCTTTAAGCGATGGATTGAGCGCGATCCTTTGTGTGTTGATGAGGTTGGACTATGGTATGGTCGTCAAAAGGGCTCTAAGCAGATGGTTAATCAACATCGAACCCCATTGATGGTTGCTGCAACTTATGGTAGCATTGGTGTTATAAAGCTTGTTCTTTCTGTATCAGATGCTGATGTCAATTTCTCTTGTGGCCTAGATAATAGCACTGCCCTTCATTGTGCTGCTTCAGGCGGAGCAGTGAATGTTATTGATGCTGTGAAACTGCTTTTAGCAGCAGGTGCTGATCCTAAGTTGGTAGATGCTAATGGTAATTGTCCAATTGATGTTATTGTTGTTCCACCAAACCTCCAAGGTGTGAAATTTACTCTTAAAGAACTTCTTGCCACTGATGGTTCTGTCGTTGATCACAATCTGAGAATTTCCACTGCGTCCTCAAATTCAATTTCTCCACCTCCTTCGCCTTCCGTGGAAAATGGTTCTCCACTGTCTACATCAGATTCCCCAATAAAGTCAAAATTAAATGATGCACCTGTTTCCTCTGCATCTGAGAAAAAAGAATATCCAATTGATCCATCTCTGCCAGATATCAAGAACAGTATCTATTCAACTGATGAATTCCGAATGTATTCGTTCAAGGTGAGGCCTTGTTCCCGTGCCTACTCCCATGATTGGACCGAGTGCCCATTTGTTCATCCAGGGGAAAATGCTCGAAGAAGAGATCCTAGGAAGTTCCATTACAGCTGTGTTCCATGTCCTGATTTTCGGAAAGGGGCTTGTAGACGAGGAGATATGTGCGAATATGCTCATGGAGTCTTCGAGTGCTGGCTTCATCCTGCTCAATATCGAACCCGGCTTTGCAAAGATGGGACAAGTTGTGCAAGGAGAGTTTGCTTCTTCGCCCACACTGTGGAGGAACTCCGTCCATTATATGTATCCACTGGTTCTGCGGTTCCTTCTCCTCGCTCTAGCACTTCTGGTGCTAATGCTGTGGATTTTGCTCAAGCAATGAGCCTCTTGCCAGGTTCTCCTTCTCCAGTATCTGTTATGTCTCCTTCGCAATTCACTCCGCCTATGTCTCCGTCAGCCAATGGGATGTCACACTCTTCGATGGCTTGGCCCCAACCAAATGTCCCAGCCTTGCATCTCCCAGGAAGCAATCTTCAGTCCAGTCGCTTGAGATCTTCCCTTAATGCCAGAGACATTCCTGCTGAGGACTACAGTTTGCTGCAAGATTTTGATCTGCAGCAGCAGCAGCAGCAGCTACTAAATGAGCTATCTAGTATCACTCAACCATCTCTGAGTAATAACTCCTTGAACCGTTCTGGTCGTATGAAAACCTTAACCCCATCAAATCTTGATGATCTCTTTTCTGCGGAGAGCTCTTCTCCTCGTTATGCTGATCAAGCATTGGCTGCAGCTGTTTTTTCTCCAACTCACAAGTCCACAGTTCTCAATCAGTTCCAGCAGCAGAGCAGCATGTTATCACTGATCAACACAAATTTTTCTCCTAAGAATGTTGATCACCCTCTGATGCAGGCCTCGTTTGCATCAGGAAGGATGTCACCTCGAAATATGGAACCCATTTCACCTATGAGTTCTCAAGTGTCTATGTTTTCTCAACGCGAGAAGCAACAGCAGCAGTTTCGTAGCCTCAGTTCTCGGGAATTAGGCTCCAACTCTACTGCCATTGTTGGCTCCCCTGTAAATTCTTGGTCAAAATGGGGTTCCTCAAATGGGAAAGCAGATTGGACAGTGAGTGCTGATGATTTTGGTAAACTTCGTCGATCAAATTCATTTGAGCTTGGTAATGGAGAGGAGCCTGATCTATCATGGGTGCAATCACTAGTTAAGGAATCTCCAACTGAGATGAAGGAAAAGTTGACCAAGCCTATCTCAACTGGTGATGCAACTGTTGCTTCTTCAAGCGGGGGTATGAATATGAACTCCCAAATCGATTCGGTTGACCATGCAGTGGGGGCATGGATGGAGCAATTGCAGATTGATCAGCATAAGCTTGTGGCTCAGCAAAATTGAAATCATTTTACCGAGTCTTCAAGATTTTGGTAGATAATTTTAGTGTTGTTGAAGGTAACAGTAACAAAAGAGGAAAGGGAAGTGAGAAAGGTCACTTTAAAAAGGGAAAATATTCATTTTCACCATTTTATTATTACAGAAGAATTTAGAGGTCAAAAAAAAGAAAAAAGGGGAGATAAACTTCTGGGTTAGAATCAAAAGAAATTAAACCCAGGTAGGTTTACTTTTTTGCATTCAATATTTTCAAATTTTAGATTTCTATTATTGTCAATTTTTTTTAAGCCTCTTTCTGATGAGCAATATAACTAAATAGCTGTGTCTGTCTTATCTTAAATTCAGTATGACCTTAAAAATCAATAGAGAGCTATGAGACCAATTAAAGTATTTTCTTGAAGGCTGTTCAGTTCTTATATCCTACTATATATATATATATATATATATGGAAATGGAACATGGGAATGGGATAGGTGATTTAATTTGGATTTGAGAATTGTGGGTGCCATTAATTTAGAGATATATAATAAAGTTGAGCAAAAGATGTAAGTTAGTTGATCTTGATTATGCTATTATTATTACACTTTTATTTTTGTAATGCACATCTAATCTCTTTATCTCTTGTTAGTGGATGGTGGGAATGGAATTGGGAATTTGGAACCTCAACTGTCTGTGGGTTCCAAATCCAAGTAGTGGGATTTGAGAATTTGTGTGGAATATCTACATGAGATGTTGATGGATAAAGAAAAATGTTATCTTTTTATTCTGATTCTTCTTTTTTATTGAGCATATGAGCTGTTGACTGAGTTATTTGTTTTCTTTTTTGCTTTTCTTTCTTTAGAAGCTGTGGATTCCCTCACGTGAAAGACTAGCTTTGATAACCTTTCTATTAGTTCAAGAAGAGAGATTGTTTTGTAGTGCTTCTTTTGGGATGGGAACAGATGGGGTTTTTAGATAGAATGAAAAAAGTTCATTCGATAAATCTAATGAATTAAATTGATTTTTTGTTCGCTTTAATAAACAAGCTAAGCTCCAGCTCTGAGTTCGAACGTCTGAAAGTACTTTTTAAAATATAAATTGAACTTGGATTAGTTAAAATTAACTTGTCTACAGTTGCAGATGGAATTTTATATAGAAGAAAAAAAAAAAAAAAAAAAAAATGTTCGCTTTAATAAACAAGCCTAAGCTCCAGCCTGAGTTCCGAAAACGTCTGAAAGTACTTTTTAAAAATATGAAATTGAACTTGGATTAAGTTAAAATAACTTGTCTAAGTTGCAGATGGAATTTTATATAGAAAGAAAAAAAAAAAAAAAAAAAAAAAAAAAAAAAAAAAGAGTTGGGGGTGAATGGTGCTCAAGCTCCTGCGAGGCATTTGCCATTGAAATGAGCGGACAGATAAAATCGGATTCGTTTGAATGGGATATCTGATGGGGCGAATAAAATTTCCACCCGTAATTATTTCTTTATTTGTTATTTTCATAAAGTTAAAAGAAAAAGGGAAGATAAAAGATTAACGGTGACTCATCTTTGACCTTTCGGTGCCTGGATTGATAATGAGAGAAGTAAAATTTTCTTTTGTATTCTTAATTTTCAAAATCAAGAACAGCAAAGTAACTAGTGCATGAGAAACGCAAAAAGAAACCAAAGAAACAAGAAATGGAAATGATGATAGAGATGAGAAGCTTTTCTTTTGAGCAAAGTGGCTAAAATGACTCCTACAAGATGTTGACTAGTTTAGGTCTTGATAATGAATTTTATGAGTTGTATAATCACTAATTTTGTTTTGTTGTTAAAAAGAATTAAAGTTTGATTAAGATGTTTGAAATAAAAATCAATGCCAAAGCAGAGAGAGAGAGAGAGAGCGAAAAGTTAAATTTATTTTTTTATTTTTTCTTACATTTTTTTTTTTTTACTTTCAGACCGAGAGTGGTATTCAAATGAAGCACTCTTAATAATGATGAATTTAGATTTTAAATTCTTAATTTTATATATACATTTTGATATGAGAATGCACTTTACTTACTTCTATTGATCCAATCCGCTATTAATAATTAATTTTAATATTTGTTAATCTTTAAGTTTAATATTTATTTAATGTTTAAGGTAGTTAGTAGTTAATGGATGCCACATGTAAGTTTTGTTTTACCTAAATTTTGGTAAAATGGGCAAGCTCCTTAAATTGAGGTGTAGTTGAACAAAATGTCATCGTTCCAACATCATACATATTATGTAATTCGTGTACATTTTTAAATGGGAAAAGTAGAGCAAGATAGTCGGTGGATCGCGAAAAACAATTAGTTTATTTTCATTTTTTTAAAAATAAATTAAAATATTTTTATATTTTATTTTTGACAGATTATAAAGTCTTTCCGTCCAATTTTTACATTTTCTCCGTAAGTACTTTATGAAATAACAAAAACACTACTTTTATTTTTAAAAGACATAGGGATGAATTAGTTATTTTTTTCAAACCATAGAGATCGTATTGTAATTTTTTTGTATAATATTTTAGCATATCTTTTTTTATCTCTATATTTTCTTATTGACTTAACAGTAAATATGCAAAAAATTGATAGATGACCTAATAGTATAATGGAAGCAAAATATAGAGACAAATTGATATATTTTGAAAAAGAATGAGATGAACTAATTGTATTTCCTAAACTACAAAGATCGTAATATACTTTTTCCTTTTTAAATTTACTTATGGGGTTGTAGGTTTGGTTTGGTGGGCATCTTAGAGGGTAGTTTGGCTAATACGGGTTAGAAAAAAAATCCAAAGAGGGAAGTCATTAGTGTAATTTAATGTATCAACCTATTTCATTGTCCATGAAGAGAATAAAATCCTTATAACTATATGCAACAATATAACTATTTTTATTAATTTAAATAGATGAAAATCAATTAGAAATAAACGAATAAAACTTATATATAATGAAATTTAATAATTTTTTTTTTTTTTTGTAAATTGTTTGGTTTATTAGCTAAGGGATAACTTAACTTATGCTACTAAATTTATAATTTTAAGGGATGTAGGTGAGAAGTAGACTTAAATGGAATTTACTTGTGCCCTAAACAAGCCTAATAATAACAAAATTGTGTGCTTTACATATGTTTTAACTACCAAAAAATGAAAGCACAATTGTCATAATGAGGAATGAGGGTAGGTAGGAGGTGGATATGGTGTTAGCTATGACCAAACCAATTTTTAGATATTAGGGTTTTGGTTACCAAATAAATGAATAAGGACATTGGCCACCCTCATCAGAATATGATTATTGAAGAGTTTTCTGAGTTGGTGACAAGGATATTTCCTCTTGAATTTGAAAAAAAAAAAAAATTTGTGTTTAACTTGACATTTTAGTCCTAATGCTACTATAAATGGAAGTGTAGAATTTTGAGGAAATTATAATAATTTAACCTTTGGGTATTAAAATATAATCAAAATTTATAGTAGTTTATTGAGAGATTAATCCAACCGGTCTTAACTTTATTTTTTAAATAATTAAATTGAACTTATTGATTATATTAAAAATTATACTACTTAGAATATATATTATTTCAAAATAAATTCAAGTTCTCATGAACCAAACAAACAGATAGAATCTTGGTTCAAGAATTACATCAAAAGAGTAAACTAAAATTGACCATAGAATTTATGTCATTGCCCAAAGTTAGTTGTACAATAAAATATAATAAATGCTAAACAATTCTACACCAATTTCCCAGCATTGCTTCTTCTCTAATGCCTATTCATAAGACTACTAGAAACAGTTTACAATTTGAAATCTACATTTTGGAGGACTATATTGAAATGCATACACATGTATTTCCATCATCAAGGCTATAATGTTGATTTGATCAAATGGAGAAGAAAGTCAGCTCCTGAGAAAGTTCCATGGTCCCGTTCCAGTTCCTACTCTGCAAATGTAGAACCGAGTGTTTAAGCAAAAATCCAGATAACAAATATTGATCGAAAATAACAACCAATAATCGCCCCAGGAGCGCAAAGTTTTAGCGTTTCAACATGCATGATTACCTCAAAACACCAGTGAATGCACGTAAACTCATGAAAATAGTCAATGCAATCCAGATGCCAACAAAGCCATGACTAGAGGATAATGTAAATAAGCATAGGATGCTTATTATTGCCACCAAAATCTGGACAAGGGAGGCAAAAATGTGAAAAATATTTATAAAAGAAGAACGAGTTATTGCAAAGGAGTTTTTAAGAAGGCTAGAAGGTGAGGGATACCATTGAGTATGCGGAGTATGCAAAATCAGATGCTCCATAGTTGACTCCATCGAAAACGAAGGCTAAAACATTAATGGGTTGAGTTGCTGTAACAAACTATTCAGTTAAGAAAAAAAAAAAGAAAGAAAGTTTTAGTCCCAGAATGATCTAGAATCCTGCTAGAAAACAAAATGTCAACCTATTATAGTTAGGAAGTAAAATATATATATACGGGGATGCCAATGCTAATAATGCGCAAAACATTTATGTCTTCTGTAAATAGTCCTGAAGCAAATGGTAATCCAACTGAAAGGATGACAGATAGCAGTAGCCCTAGAACCAAACCAAACTGCAACAGAAAAATAAACAATTTAAAATACTTGGAGGGAAAAATAAGTTTTCTTATGTTAGGAAATTTTTCTACCTGCAATACACGAGAAGTAGTGGCTTTCGCTTTGTCATAATCCTTGTTTGCAAATGCAGTGGCAAGGATTGCCTGGAAAAAGTGGAAATGGATTAGATTATATTTCAAGGAGATGTTTTAGAATTAGAATACACTTAGGATTGAAGAACAAACAGAACTATGAAGTGGCAAAGCATTGGATACAGAATCAATTTTTTAACAACTCCTGAAAAGGGTTGGAAAAGAAAAAGGTTGAGCTCATATGTTTTCATGATTTCTATCAGACAACATGTTCAACATCCATTGAAATTAATCTCCATCCCCTGGAAAGGGAATTTTGTTTCCATATATACAAACTGTGAATATGACTGTAAATCATACAATGATTGTGTAAATCCAATCTCTTAAGGAAAACAGTTCTTACCTGTCCAGCCACGGCCAGCCCATCTGCAAGCAAAGAAGTTGCTAACCAGATTTGCAAGCAAACCTGAAATGCAGCCATTGAAGTAGATCCATGTCTCGCAGCCAATGATGCAGCCAAGGTGACACAACATGTCGCAGCTATTACCCTCAGCAACAGCATAAATCCTTAACAGATGCACAGAAAACCGACTTGCTTATATCAGTGCCAATAGCATATAAAATGAATAGCACAAAATGATTAAAAAGGATGTAAGAGAATGCATCACATCCAGACAAGGAAGAAATGGGAAACCAAGTAAAGAACCTTACCATTTTTGAGGAATTGACTAAATTGTAGATCTTTAATGCTTGGAGGCAATAGATCAACATGTTCAATTAACTTCCACAACAGTATCAGGGATATTAAGTACCTAAAGCAACAATATAGGGTGGTGAACCATAGTTTTACTTGTCAAATAATTCTCAGTAATCAATGTAAGTGAAGGCTGTGAATCAGCAACAAGAAAAATGGACGCTATCTCATTATCAGGGGAAAGATGGAACTTACTGAGAAATAACATGAGCAATGGCTGCACCACTTACTCCCAGCCGGAATAAGAATATAAATATTGGGTCTAAGACAATATTTGCTATATCTCCCGCAACTATATCAATACCAACAAAAGTAATTAAGGATTAAAATGGTGACACTGTAATCCATATAAATAAAAAGAAAAAAGAAAAGAGTTTTGCTAGGTTTTATTCAAATAAAAGATAAGAGAAGAAGACTCCAATAAATACAAAATAAGCTCCCAAAGAAAGTGCCACTTTTATACAGTAGAACTGTGCAAAGATGAAAATATTCTATTAAAACAGCAAAAGCTAGATGGAATAATAGGCAAGTTAGGCAAACAGGAATGTAGTTCTGGTGCTTTTATATTGAATTCCACACTCAATGTAGATGCATGAGCCTTGGTACTAGTACATGGGCATGTCAAAAACTATATCATTGTATACAAAGGAGAAACTGCTTAAAGTTTCTCCAAAAATTGTGGATTAACAATATCAGCAAATGCACCTGGAAAAACATGAATAAGACAGCCACCAACATAAGTCACACAACAATGGGCAACATATCAATGGGAGAAACGGAGCAAATAAAGTTTTTCTCACGAGTAGCAAACAGGGGAGTTTTTGTATCCTTAATTCCTCGAAAAACCCCTTGCATAGCCAAAGAAAGAAGAACAGCAGGAGCACTCAGTGACCTTAATGTTAAGTATTGTTGTGCCGGTATTAACATAGGTGAATCCTGCACAAAAGAAAATTCCTTCCTTAGAAAACTTTTTCTTTTGAATTTAACCTAAACAACTGGGATTAAATGTTCAGTCAAGGTGAGATGAAGTGGTGGAATGGAGCTTGCACTTAAAAATTTTAGAATAACTTCCACTGAACAGCAGACAACCAGAACTATTTCTTTTGAATTGGAACCTAAACAACTGGGATTAAATGTGCACTCAACGTGTGATGAAGTGGTGGAAAGGAGCCTGCACTTAAAATTTTAGAATAACTTCCACTGAACAGCAGACAACCAGAACTATTTCTTTTGAATTGGAACCTAAACAACTGGGATTAAATGTGCACTCAACGTGTGATGAAGTGGTGGAAAGGAGCCTGCACTTAAAATTTTAGAATAACTTCCACTGAACAGCCCAGCCGGTAGTTTTTTGTATCCTTAATTCCTCGCAAAAAACCCCCCTTTTGCATAGCCAAAGAACAGGTAAGGAAACCAGGCCAGGAGCAAACTTCCAGTGACCTTAATGTTAAGTATTGTTGCTGCCGACGGTATTAAGCATAGGTAGACATCCTGCCCACCAATAAAGAACTAATTACCCTTCCTTGTAGATAAACCTTTATTCTTTTGAATTTAATCCTAAACATATACTGGGATTAAATTGGTCCTCAGTCTAAAGGTGTAGAGGACGTGACAGATGGTTGGAGATGTGAAGCCTTGGCAACTTCATAAAATTTCATAGGAATATGAAGCTTCCACTGGAACAGCAGTACAACCATGCAACCTATTTCTTTTGGAATTTGGCACACCCGCTAATACAAGAACTGGGGGATTAAATGGTTGTCCACTGCAACGGGTGTCGAGAAGTTTGGTGGGAAAGGGAGCCTGCACTCCTTTATAAAAAATTTTTCGAATTAACTTTCTACTGAAACACAGCCATAAGGGCTCAACGGGGAGAAACCGTTCCAATCACTCATATCTAACAAACAAATATCGTCCTCCTTTAGTAGTGAACTCTACACGGATAAAAATTAGATTTTAATAACATTTCAATACTGTCTAGCTAGAAGCATAAAGGTACAAAGGAAAAAAGCGACCTACAAATTACGAAAGCAGAACAAAGCCCTTTCGACGGTTAACAATTTAAGATAATAAAAGTACAGAACGATGAGAACTGGGAGAAGTTCTTTTCCCACGTACCAAGGTTGCTTATCGAGAAACCATACTTACTGAATTGGGTACAGCCGCATTTAGGTTAGTTTCAGGAATTGGTGTCTTTTAGCCAACCCAATAATAAAATTTAAGCGAGGAATAAATGTCGTCTGAGGGAGCCAGAACACAATCGCCTAATCAACAATTTTGCTTGTATAAGAGTCAAGCAAGAATGTACTATGGCTGTCTCTCACTTAATCATACTTTTATGGGCGGTGGCCAAACGAACTGCTTGACAGAGGATGAGTTGTGATTGTGACTTTCTTAGGGTTAAGATAAAAACTCGAAAAAATGTTAAGCAAACGTAAACAGACCTATTCAAGGGAAACATTATCAAGAAAAATCAAACGCAATTACACTGGAAGTGATGAGCTGTATCAAAGATGCCTTTAAGGCGATCATTCTCACTATTAGAGTCCAACAGATTAATTGCTCTATTCCACACAATACAGAGGCGAGACGATGGGTAGGTGTGAAAGGATTACGCCCACGCTTTAACGGTACGCAGCCGTTACCAGTTTCCCTTTTATTGACAAGACAACCACGCATTTTAGAATAACTTCCACTGAACAGCAGACAACCAGAACTATTTCTTTTGAATTGGAACCTAAACAACTGGGATTAAATGTGCACTCAACGTGTGATGAAGTGGTGGAAAGGAGCCTGCACTTAAAATTTTAGAATAACTTCCACTGAACAGCAGACAACCAGAACTATTTCTTTTGAATTGGAACCTAAACAACTGGGATTAAATGTGCACTCAACGTGTGATGAAGTGGTGGAAAGGAGCCTGCACTTAAAATTTTAGAATAACTTCCACTGAACAGCAGGCAACGAGAACTATCACTCACTACAAAAAAAATATCCCTTATAAACAGGAAAATAGATTTAATAAATTATACTGTTAGCAAGCATAAGGTACAAAATAACCTACAAATAGAAAGCAGACAACCCATTAGAGTTAACAATTTGAAATAAAAGTAAAAGAGAGAACTGGAATTTCAGTCACCCAAGGTGCTATTCAAGAAACACTTACTGAATGTACACCCATGTAGTTCAGGATTGGTTTAGCACCAAAAATGAGGAAGAAAGCCTGAAGGAGGCCAAGAACACAACCAACAACCAATGCTGAAGAAGCAGATGGTATATGCTTTCTCTCATAATCACTTTTTGTGCAAACACTGCTTACAGAGGATGGTTTGTGTGTGGACTCTGGTTAAGATAAAAACCGAAAATATGTTAAGAACGAAAAACCTATTCAGGAAATTATAAGAAAATCAAACAATTACACTGAATATTGAGCTGTATCAAGATGCTAGCTATTCATATAGATCACAGATTAATCCATCCAACAAACAGAGGGAGACATGAGGAAAGATTACCAGCTTTAGGTAGCAGCTCTTCCATTTCCTTATTGACAGCAACACCATCTTCAAGTTTTTCAGTTTCATGCACTTCAGTACTCAATATTCCAGTAGTATCTTCCTTGGCAACAAGAGAAGTTGTAACACTGACAAGCGGAAATATTGCAATCTTTGACACTTGATTGAAGATAGCAATTGAAACTCCTACAGCGGCAAGCTCCACAGGTCCTATTGACAACAAAATGATTGAGCCATTAATGATAACTAAAAAGAATAGGCAGAGGCAAATGTTAAATATGGAAATACACTTACTTTATCTATGCACAATGATAGGTCCAACGGGTAGATTAATTTTGGTTTTCTGGGGATTACATTTTATTAGTTGAAAAGTATTTTTCATTGGAAAGAGTACTTTCAACGCAGCTAGATTCTACTCTATGCTTCTGTAATTGTCATCTATGTCCCATATATCAAACAAAAATTGCATGCAGAAAACATTTAGAGACAGGCACTAGTTTCTGTTTTGAGACAAGCAATTCTGTAAAGCAAATATGCAATGAGGCCCTTTGAAATGTTGGAAATCCATAATGCCATAACGTTTATGATAATATAGAAAAACAGTCAATTGTGCATATCCTTCATTCCTAAATGTGATGGCCACAGGATAATGGACTCAAATTTAAATTAAAACACACAGCCACTTCTAGATGCTAGTATGAAAATGTTTGAAATGGAGAAAGAAACAGAAATACCACAGTGACCAGAATCTAAGAACACAAAAAAGGAAAGACAATTAAGCAGGGAATGCAGGTGTCTTTGACAAAGATAAGAACCATAGTACAAACCTATATGGCCAATGAATGCTGTGTCAATCAGAGAAGCAATAGGATCTGCTGCTAATGCAAGTGCTGCGGGAACTGCAATTTCTGCTATTTCTAGCCCCAATTCATCATTTCTGAAAATGTTACTGGGCAAAACCAAAGTAGAGGTACACGTGAGATGTGGCCAAATTAGTTATGCGGTTCTTTGAAGAACAATGAAAACATAAAATTTTCACAAAACCAGAATCAAAACCTCTAACAAACAATTTTAAAACAATAAGTTAAAAAAAAAAAAAAAAGTTCCAGACCATGATTATCAGTGGGGTAAGAGAGTAAAGAAACCATATCAGTTGGAATCATATTTATATGAATTAATAATAAATTTATCACTGGAGATAGTCATGAAATCAGGATGACCTAAAATAATTGTTCTAAAAATAAGAATGAAGAATGAAGAACCTTAAATTAAGGCCCAAATTCTTAGAGTTTAACAGTACCTTACGCCATTGCAGAACACAGAAAAAGGCATCTTAGCCAAGTTTTCCACAGATGAGAAAGGGTTTTCCAGAGGCAAAAATGGAATCAATACAATGGCCTCGATAGAGAAATTCAATATGGTGAAAAAAAAAAAAAAAAAAAGAAAATATCAACGAACAAAAAGCATGTAACAATCACCAAACCAAGAACTCGCCTCCAACGTGGGAACTCTTAACAACGAAAGAATTCCAACGTCCAAAAAAGAACTAGTCAACGAAAAATGACAAAAAAAATGACAATAGAAAGAACCCCCGAAAAATCAAGAATCAAGATTCAAGAATCGGGGGTTTCCCTGAAATTTAAAGCAAGAAATGAAAACTAAACAATTCCCAGAAAAAGAAAAAATGTAAAGAAAAAAACTTAATTAATGTATTTTAATTTGCAAAAAAAGGGGTAAACATATACTGGAGAAACAAGAGAATTTCAGTTGGAAACTAACCCTGTTTGGCCCCCGAGATTCTGAATGTAACCTCCCTCAGTTGGGGACAGCCCAGAATATACTAAAACAGAAGCCCAATTTACGTCTTATATGTATTAATAGTAAACTCCTATCCATCACTACCACCGCTTTAAGTTCTCGTCAGGCTCAACTGTAATACAAGTCCAACTAACAACAGACAAACTGTTCGTTTCTTTAACGGTTTACTAAAATGGATTGCTTTTTCCCTACTTTTCTGAATAAGTAAATTTCGTGATAGCGCGAAAAATTGTAGTGTGATGAGACCATTCCTTCGGTTAGCAAAATAGAATATAGTGCCATTTGTAATCTTCAGTGTCTGTAAGGGATGGCAAAATATCCCCCAATCCATGGGACCCTGTCCGAACAGCATCATTTTGTTAAGGTTTTAAGTTCCCCGTCCTGAAGGGGACGCCCAGTCCCAAACCATCTCTGGGATTATATATATATAGTAATTTTTATTATAATATTTATAACATTACTGTTAATATATTTCACATATCATCTATTCTTTTGTTATTATTGGGCTGGTACTTCATTTACATAAAAATTATCTCAAGTTAATTAAGGTATTAGGTTGGTGAATTGATGTGAATGCCATAGGGGCTATTGAAACTTCCATTTTAATTTTATGTTTTAACCCTTGATTGCAAAGTCCTTGTAAATACAAGAATACATCCAGAAATTTCCAAAATATGCCTTTCTATTAAGCTGTTACATCTAGAAGATGAATTTGGGTTTGGATTTGCATAAAAGCGTTGACAAGAACATTTTGATCTTCTGCTAGTAAATATTGTGGATGTGGAGGAGAAACTTTAATTATAGTTCACTTCAAGGGGCTTCTATGTTACCTTTCAACATAATTTAGTTCCCAAATAGACCTGCCAAGCACTATTGCATTGCATACTGTCTCACAAACTGTAAGGCGAATTTTGGTGTTTAAATTCCTCTAATCTGCATTCAATATTATAAAAGAAATAAACAAGTGCACGGTTTATATTTTGTTGGTGAAAAAAGCAAAAATAAAGGAAATGAATGATTTTCCGGAGGATTAATAAGAAATGAATAATATATCAAACTTTCTTGATGACTAAAAACAATCAGAATGGCCTTACCTAGTTTGGACAAAGAACTCAAAAAATTGATTCACTTCCTGGGAAGCTAAATAGATCTCTGTGACCCAGAAGTCTATACAAACAACAAACGGAAGTTCATGCAGTCAAGAGAATCTTGAGCCTGTCCAATCATGCGATGGGTCATGATTCATAAAGAAAAAAAACCAGTGATGAGAGAAGAGAATTAGAGAAAAATCTGAGCCAAGTACATAAATATTTCACCAATGTTACATGAACTTGCCTGCTAAGAAATATTTGGAGCAGTACATGAAAATACCTACAGCAAATCCTAATTCTTTCATTATGGGAGTAACATGCTCAGTTGCTTTGTATTTTATTTAATGGATGCATATTCGATGAACTTTGTGCCATAGTTTGGTATCTATAAACTATTTGATTTGCAGCACAAGCAACAGATATTAAGTTGATGGACAAAAATAAAAATTAAATAATAAGTCTTGATGGTCACTGACCCAATTTGATAATGAAAACATGATATAATGCATTCTGAAGCTATTGTAGAACTGGCACGATATGGAGAGAAGAAAACAAAGTAAATCAACAATATGGCAAAGAAATACTGAAAGAGCATCTAAGATTTGGGAAAGTGAGAAATTTCACTTCTTATCCTGTAACTGTTGTGCCCATTAGATATTAAATAGATTCCACTTGGGGAAAATTAAACTCTTACATGTCAGTCACCAGTAGTCACCACACGAGCATTTTCCATCTTCAAACCGATGGAACCGGTTATTATCCCTCACAATTATCACTCTTCCAGAGCACTGGGACATAAACTTGATTGCAGTGTGGCAATCACCACATATACGCAAATTCTTCATAATTCTGATTGGCCTATCAGGTGGGAAAGCAATAAGACCAAATGCAATGGCTAGTCTTTCACTGTGATATCTAATTGTCTGCCTTTTCTCTTCACCATCCACTTCTTGAAGCACAAAACTTGTATCTGCAACATAACCAACTTTCCCCATATCATCTTCCAATTCCTCCAATTTCAGATAGATTTCTTTGGCTTTCTCGTGAGACCTATCCCCAGCGGCAAATGTGTGAACTCTGTTACCTTCCTCAATCCAACTCAAACCTGTCTCCTTTTTTACACCTCTGTCCCTAAGCATCTTTCTGGCTTTGGCAGCATCCTCATATCTTCCAGCAGCAGCATAAGCATTAGATAACAACACATTCATGCCTGAGCTAACATGACCCAACTCAAAGATTCTATCAGCAGCAAAGGCTGCCAACTCAGCATCCCCATGAAGGCGGCACCCAGTCAAAAACGCTCCCCACACTGATTCTGTTGGTTCTATGGGCATTGCCTTGATAATATCAAGTGCTTCCTGCAATTTCCCTGCACGACCAAGCAAGTCCACCATAGTAGCATAATGCTGAGCTCCCGGCTCAATTCCGTAATCCTTCATAAGCCCAAAATATTGCTGGCCTTTGTCAATTAACCCTCCATGACTACAAGCATACAGCAAACATAAAAAGGTAATAAAATTTGGTCTCATCCCAACATTTTTCATTCTGTCAAACAACTTAAACACTTCTTCTGTATGTGCATGTTGGGCACAAGCAATCAACATGGAATTCCACATCCCAAGATTCCTAATGGGCGCTTCATTAAAAACCCTAGAAGCTGCTTCAATAACACCACATTTGGAATACAAAGAAATCAAAGAACTTCCCACAAAACTGGACGAATCATAACTTGTTTTTAAACACAATCCATGTATTTGCCTCCCTAGTTCAAGCAACGTTGAATTACCACAAACCCTAATAACACTCGAAAAAGTAAAATCATTCACACTCAAATCCTCTAATAAAGCTTCTTTAAATAGCTTCAAAGCGTTCTCATCTTCACCCAATAGAGCATACGCACAAATCATCCCACTCCAAGAAACCACATTCCTTTCAGGCATTTCATCAAACACTTTCCTCGCATTTTTTATTTCCCCACACTTACCATACATATCAACTGTAGAACTCCCAACAAAAACATCAACATCAAACCCAGTTTTGACCACAAATGCATGTATGGATTTACCAATATCACACCTACCCAAAATTGCACATGCTTTAATAGCACTAGGGAATATATGATCATCAGGCCGGATATTATCAATAATCATTTGACGAAAGTATTCAATGGCAAGAGAAGGAAGCTCATTTTGCGCTAAGGAGGAAATAACAGAGCTCCAAGTGGTAGCAGACTTTTCTTGGGCTTCCTCAAAAGCTTGAAGAGAAAAGACAGGCAATTGAGTCTTGGAATAGAAATTGATTAGATGGTGAGAGACAAGAGGGATTGATTGAAGGCTTGATTTGATGATATGGGCATGTATTTGTTGGCCCTTTAAAAGAGATCTAGAGCGGGTTTGGGATAAAAGAAGCTCACAAATGTGTCTATATTTTTCTTCAAAAGAGAATTGGTTTAGATTCTGTGGAGGCTTATAATTCTGTTCAAACACAGGTTGATTCAAAGGGGTTTGCTGGGGTTTTAGCTCCGGTTTTATGCGTTCAACCAAAAGGTTAGTTAGGATTTTTGAGAGAGTGATGGGTGTCTCTGTACTTCTGTCGGAGACTTGGCGAAGCATTAGAAAGTCTTATTTTTTTCTTTTTGCAGTTTTTGAGGGTTTGGCGGGAGAAAAGACTCCATTTTTAAGTTCGCCAGGAGATAAAACGGCAGCGTTTTGTGTAAAACTTGGAGAATATAAAAAACGGTGCGGTTAAAGGTTTCGTCTTCGTCTACTAGAACCTGCAAGACCTAGTTTCCTGTTCTCTCTCATTTACGTCTTTCAAAAGTGAAACATTCAGAACTCTCTATACTTGATTAAAATTAGAAAGTGTTAACTTTGAGTTAGAATGGAGCCTCAAGAAGCATTAATATGGAAATCGGAGTCATCAGAGTCTCCAGAATCAATGGTTTCTGTTAGATTAGGAAGAGCCTTAACCATTCTACTTGGCGCTCGTTCTAGAAAGCTCCACGACTCCATTTCTCGCATCTCCCCTGACTCTAACAAAAGACCTTCCCTTGGTACTTCTGTATATGTACACACAGATGTATAGACTTCTCTGTTTAACTGAATTATCGTTATTGATTTTGAATTATGGTTTTTGAAGGTTCATTGGAGGATTCCTTATGGTTTCTGCACAAATTCGTTAAAGATGCAGTTGAGAGAGACCACAAATTGGACGACATTCTTATTCCCATAATTCAACATGTACTGCTTATATCAAAATTTCCTTTTTGTACCTTATTAATATTTGATGTTAAAAGCTCCATTAATTTTTGAAGCTTTTTTTTTTTTTTTTTTTGGCGCCCTCGTTTCTAGAAAGCTTCCACGACTCCCATTTCCCTTCGCATCTCCCCCCTGACTCTAACAAAAAAAGGACCGTCCCTTGGTACTTCTGGTATTTAGTGACACACAGATTGGTTATAGACTTTCTCTGTTTAACCTGAAATTTATTCGTTATTTGGATTTGAATTATTGGTTTGAAGGTTCATTGGAGATTCCTTATTGGTTTCTGCACAAATTCGTTAAAAGATGCAGTTGAAGATGAGGAGCACAAATTTGGACGACATTCTTATTCCCATAATTCAACATGCTACTGCTTATATCCCAAAATTTCCTTTTTGTTACCTTATTAAATATTTGATGTTAAAAGCCTCATTAATTTTTGAAGCTTTTTTTTTTTTTTTTTTGGCGCTCTATGCTAGTCATGCAGGAGCAAAAGATTTGAAGGCATGGTGGCAAGCTTTGATACTTAGTAAATTGCGGCTTCTTTTCAGCAATTGAATTTTTTCCCAAAGCTGGTGGTTAGAAGTCTTTTGCTGATATTATTGACAGAAAAACGGATGATCCGTGTTATATGTAGGCCTCTTGGATTGGTTGTATTCTTATACGTGCGTGTCCTGTTGCACGTACGAAGAGCGTTGTGCCGATCATCTATACTCTGAACGGTAAATAGATAGTTCTCCTGCTTATTTGTCTTTTTTCTATATAACCCCCTTGGGTTTCCTCCATGTATTTCTGTTTTTGGCTGAAGTTGATGTTATTGCTATTTTTCTTTTTAATGCAGGAATAAAACGGAACAATTATTATGCTCTTTGTTTGGGAAGATACTTTTGGCTCATGTGGGGTTTTCCCGGTGTTTTTATCACACTTAGGTATGCAGAGGAAGGTAATAAAGCTTTTTTTTTTTTTTTTTTTGGCTCTATGCTAGTCATTGAGGAGCAAAGATTTGAAGCATGGTGGGCAAGCTTTGATACTTATAAATTGGCTCTTTCAAGATGAATTTTTTTTCCAAGCTGTTGTTAGAAGTCTTGCTGATATTATTGACAGAAAAGATGATCGTTATATAGCTCTTGGTTGGTGTATTCTTATACGTGGTCTTGTTGAGTACGAGAGGTTTGTGGATCATTATACTCTGAACGGTAAATAGATAGGTTCTCCTTATTGTCTTTCTATATTAACCCTTTGTTTCCTCCATGTATTTCTGTTTTGGTGAAGATTGATGTTATTGTTATTTTTCTTTTATGCAGGAATAAAGGACAATTATTATGCTTTGTTGAAGATACTTTGCTCATGTGTCCCGTGTTTATCACACTTAGTATGCAGAGGAAGGTAGATAAACCCCTTCTTGTTTAGTAATTTCGTTGATTACTGTTGTTCTTTGAAGAATTTGGTGAGAATAGTGGACAAATCAGTGTAATGGTTGCATTAATTGATGCAATATGAATAATATTTCTCATTATTTGTTTATGCTTGGTCTGGACATTCTCTGCAGCTAATTTTTCCATTTTGCACTGAGTTGTTTGCATAAACATCATTGTTTTCTTGCTTTTATGTCTATCAAACAGAGTTTGATCATTTGCTTATACCTTGGTGCTTACATACCATATCATCATCAAGAAAGAGGTTCATTATTATAATTATTGTGTCTTTTTTTTCCTGCTATTGTTGTTTATAGATTTTCATTCTGTCAAAAATATTTGTTCTAGTTTCATTGCTTTTTAGCTAAATCTGATAAAGACCGTTAGCTTTGTTGGAATTATACTTGTAGCTGGGATTTGGCTTGGTACTGCATGATTGGCAATGTCTATATGTTGTAATCTGTGCTGATTGGTGTCATATATGTTCTCATGTAACTTTGTAATTTTTCATGAAATTTTGCAAGTCGTTTTCTACCTGAATGCATATGTGATAATGTCATGATTAAATTCAACAGGTTTTTCTAACTTTGGAACTCTCGTTTCTCTCGATTTGTTTTGTAGCACTTTGCAGGATGGATTTGAGTTGCCTTCACGCCTCTCAGTATCTGCTGCTGATTGTATTTTAGCTATCACTGAAGCATTAACAAAAAAGAATAAGGTTTCAAGTAACAATCCAAAACTGTTGAATTCAGATGCATTACATCGGCCTATTAGTCTTGTGCCAGCTGTTAGTAGAGAGAAGAAAGCAAAGCCAGCTCATAAATCATCAGAAGAGTCAACCTTTGACATGGCATACTTGCTTTGGGACTTGATAGGGGAACTTATTACTCTAACACAGAGACTGCTTGCTGTATGTTCTATATAATCTACACTGTTTGAACTCTCATCTGGAACTTGTTTATTTTTTGTCCCATATGAGTCTTAATCAGAGTGCTGAACTGCAGTTATGTGTGTTTTTTCTCTATGACTGTTATCTTTTTATTATGGGTTGTTGGTATATGCAATATATACTGCAAAAACGATATAGAGTTAAGATATGATTGAACATAGTAGAACACTCAAATTTTTGCTCGATATGAGCTTGTTCTTGAGCGTGTTTTCTTTTTCGCTCATTATCTCGGACTTCTACAATTTTTTGACAGAATCTTAGACCATTGAAGTTTAGAATAAGTTTCCCAGATTGGATTGGGTGAAGTTACTTTATGGTATTACAGGCACTTTATAATATAAGCTTATCATGTTTCTTTATCAGTTTGGATTTTTTATTTTCATTATAATAACTCTACATAGATTTTAAGTTATTGTTTTCTTTTTATTTTTTACTAATAGCAAATTCTTGTTTCTGACTCTGTGAATAATGCTTTGAATATGTTTTTTATCCAAATTTTATCATCTTTGAGTTTATATGTAATTTGCTTTAAGCACGGGTCGCAGTTCCTGGCCTCAACATATGTATTCATATATAACTTCCATTGACTGTTGGTGCTTTTGGCAAATGCAGTGGAGCAGAAAAAGTAGGCCTTTACATGCCAAAGGGTTGGAGCAAGTGGTTAAATGGTTGCAGGGAATAAAAGGGCAGTATAGTTGCATTCAGGATGAGGCAGGTCCCAAATTCACTGTATACTTTTAACAATTTCATGTGCCTATTTATGTTGTTCTGTCTAATTTTCTATTCATTATGATTTGTTAATCTGCAATATGGAAGACAGGTGCAAACTTTCCTAAAGCTGGAGCCTTGCTTCTCTCTTCCTGTTGGAAGCATTACAATGTTTTGTTGCATTTGGAAGATCACAATTTTCCTCAGCATTGCAATGAATTATTGGACCAATACATATCTGGCATCCAGGTTAGCCTTCCAATTCTTTGTCTTTGAGAATTTTATGTAATTTGCTTGATAATATAGCTTTAATCTTTATTCATTTTTACTGGCAATAAAAAAAAGGAGGAATTAATGTTTTGTTGGATTATATTTCCATATATTTGTTCATTTGTTTTAAGAAATATTTTAAGTTTGAATGGTACATGGGACACTATGAGGATATATTGTCCACAAGAAGAAAGTTTTTTGGTATAAATAGTTTATCATAGCATACTGGGGATCTTTTGGGCTGCCTTTGCTATGGAGTAGAAGAAAAAAATAAAAATGTGTTATTGACAGAATTTACATTGATAATGATCTTTAGTGGCGTGGAAAATCTCCTTACTTTATCCTAACAACTTTCAGGTCAATCCCTTTTATGATTATTCCCAAGCAGCAAAGATCCTTGAAAGGGGTGAACTGTTATTCAAATAGATTTTCAGCCCTACTGACTCCATACCGAATGTACACTTATACTCAATTATGACAAAATCCTTTTGGGGGTGCCAATGTAGTTCTCCTAATACTATGTAAATGCAACTAATAAAAATTGCAGATATTGCTTATATAATTCTACTTATATTGTACACCAAGTTAAAGAAAAGGGAAATAGTAAACTTGATACATGCTGCTACAAATCAATAAGTAAATGTGTGCCTGCATGTTTTAGCAATCAGAAAAGAACTTCACAGTTCATTCTTCCTTTGGATATCTGGATTAGCATTCATTTAATCTTTCACCAATTTCCTCCCTCCTCTCTTCTCTCTCTCCTCTCTCTCTGTCTCTCTCTCTCTTTCCTCTCTTTCCCCTCCTTCCCTTCTCTTCAATCCTCCCCCATTGATTGTGTATTTTATGTCCCGTGAGTTTTTGAATAGCTGATGAAAGAAAGGCAAAAAAAAATTTCCGGTATGCAGTATTATACGGATAGCCATGCTGAGGGCATTACAGAGAACAAGGATGCTGGTGTAGAGACTAGAAAGTTTTTCCTGAACTGTCTATGCCTTCTTTTGGGACGTCTTGATGGCAAGAAATTTGAAAGCATAATGTCAGAATATGGGATGCAGATATCACGTATTCTTTTATCACAGGTATATTTATCCTTGAGTTCACAAAGAAAAACTTAATAATTCTGTTTCTATGTATGAAAACTGTTCAACTGTTTGGTTCATGCGAATAATTGTGTCCAGATTTCTCCAGAATATTCTGTACATATTCTAAGGATTTAGAATGCTTTGACATCTACTTGTTAATGCCTTGACATCTACTTGTTCATCAGTTACCTATAGTACACGACTGCTGTTGCAGTTTGTTTGGTTCTGGTTTAAAACTTAACTTTGGACTGAATAATTGGATTCTAATTGCAGTATGAGTGATATAGTTGAGAGGTTGATTACTCATTCACAAGTTGTTAAGAGTAGTATTACGTGTCCCACCATTTTTGTACCACCATAATCATACTACCTAAAATAGCTTATTTCTACCAGTACAAATTGACGTGCACTAAAAATTCATGTTTAAGTATAGATTATAACTAGGATGATGGCCCATCATGGTATACCAAGGCAGTCAAAATTGTTGGTCTAAACAGCATTTTCCTTGTGTAGAGAATCTATTTATTTTATGTAATCAGAAACAATCTGTTTTTGCAGTTACAGTTATTATTTCTTTTCTTGCATTTTGAATTTTTCTTTTTTTTTTTTGGAGTGAAGCTTCACTGTGCTGATGAAGATGTGGTTGCTGCGGCTGTTTGCATACTTAAGAAATCCATATTTAAACCAAATTATTCATCTGGAAAAGACCTCACAGACAGCAGACAGATGGATGTGTTGTTGCCTTCATTGCTTAACCTTCTAGATGAGAATGATGGCATAGCTAGAGCTGTTGTTATGCTTATAGCAGAATATTGCTCCATGTATTCATTCTCTCTCTTTTATGTTTTAGTACTTGCTAGCATAAGGACATTTTTTCATTCTGTATTAAGGGATAGGGGCTCAAACTTGACTTGGATTTTGAATGGTTCACCAGGAGCATAAACAATAACTGTTTGAAACAAGTTCTGAAGCGCCTTGCTTCTGGAAATGCTTCGCAGAGAAGGAATGCTATTGATATTGTATCACAACTGGTTTGCATGTCATCAGACTCGGCAAACAAACTTTCTGATTTGACATGGTATAAGACTTTAGCAGCTATACCATTCTGTGATTTTTTTTTTCTCACTTTTTCCCCATACAATCGTTTAATATTACCACTGCAGGCAAGATATAGCAAACAACTTGATAGAACGCCTTAGTGATGAAGAAATTGCAATTCGTCACCAAGCATCAAAATTGATTTCAATGATAGGTTAGTCCTGATAGTGTAAACTTTTCCTTTTTCTGCTTGTTCTTGTTATTATCCATGGACATAGACTGCTAGTGCATCGGAGAAAATGTAGCTATTTGGGTTTTTCGGGATTGATGAGTGGAATATGATGGCCATTGTGGACACAGTACCTCACTGGCTCATCTGAGGGAATAGTGTTAGACCTATTGGCTTTTTATCAATTCATGCAAAATTGGTTATGGCATTTTCAAGTTTCTGCTTATAATCATGTGCCTTGATCAAAACTTCTCATTGTTACTTTGTTAGTAAAGCTTCATGTTTTGTCAATATGTTCGGATTGCTAAATTTTCACTTATTTGGCAGATCCATCATTAGTTATGCCCGCCTTAGTTCACCTTCTGTACTCATCAGATGAAGGATTGTCATATGCTAGTACTGCTTTCACTGCAATGCTCCAATATCATAACCAGAAACCTGAAGTTATATGTATGCTGCTTGATTGCCTTAGGTATTTGTTTCTCCCTTTTACTTATGAGAGCAGAAACAAATGGTCTATTTCCTTTCTCTTGATTTTCTGAAGGAGTTCTGATTCTGAATGATATTAACTGATTTTTTTTCTCCTCTATATTTTTGCAGCAATATCAGACTAGATCTAGATCTTTCAAAAAGTGCAGATGATCTAAGGGAAGGTGAGTTTTCACTGGGTTGCTGTTAAAATTTGGTAGATTAATTAGTGATTGTCTTCTATTTCTGTCTGAACTTCACTTAGTAATACCTGTCCATGAATTGTACACGAAAGTTGTATTTTGATTCAGGATATTTGTCTTTTGTTAGTGATGCCTTTCTGCGAATTCTTCAGCTAACATTGCATTTTGATTCTTGATATCGTGTCTTTTGCTATGTTTAACAATTAAATATTTGATACCTAGAAATAGTTGACTTTTTATTTTACTATGACATAATTTTGTTGAATATTTTGAAATTTTACTTAAATTTTAGTTTTAATTTAAATTTTGGAGGGAAAGCTAGTTTTGTCTTTTCCGTTGTAACCTTGCTATCCAGTAGGTAAATTTAGTGGGATTAGATAGGAGTCTTGGCTTAGCTCGAGTGTTTACGTAAACTAAGCATGGCTTAGTTATGGGATAAAGCCAAGCATGGTTAAGGCATTGCTGTCATCACAATTTTTGTGCTTCATGTCTTGTAATTGTATCTATGTATACAATGCTGTACAAGTCAATGAACGATGCACTACCGTGTCGAAGGTTCATTTTTCAAGAAGCTGTTTTCTGTGTGTGCTGTTTGAGTTAATACTCTGCTGTACCATTCTCTAACAACTTTGATATGACTGAATCTTTGCAACTTTGCCAATCCTAATTTGATGGGCAAGGCTTGGAAAATAGATGACTCATTTTCTAGAAGTGTTCCTGTATTTGCTCTTCTACTTGTGTCATGTAAGATAGCAATCAGAGCATAATGCCACAATGTTGCTAGCTGAGTTTGGAGAAGCTACTGGTCTTCTTCTTATCTCCTCCTCTGTGGCGAGTTCAGCCCTGAGCTCTGTTCGATTGTAGTCAGCCAGCTTCAGGACTTTGCTTAGCTAAAAAGATCTCTCTCTCTCTCTCTCTCTCTCTCATCCCTCAACTATATGTACCTGTAGTTAACCCAAACAAATCCTTGTCTGCTTACAACTCAGGCCAGGATGGAAGGCTAACTGGATTGGTTCCTATAAATTGATTGTTGGCAGACTCTATTATGTTCTTAATATTAGATGGTTTGTATACAAATTAAATTCATATATCTAAATTGCAGTAATTTTTTTCCTAGTTTGGTTTTTGAATAAATTCAAAATTTTGGATTCTTTGTTCTTCTACCTCTTTGTTGTTGTTGTTCTTCTTCCTGCTTCATCCATCTTGCAATAACTATTATTAAGTTTTTGTTTTCAATCATTCTTCTACCTCTTTGTTGTCGTTCTTCTGTTTATTAGCAAACTTAATCCTCTTTGTCAGAACATTTGCTTCCATGAGAGCTTATCTTCTGGAAACAATATTGCAGGACCAAAGTTGGATATTGATCGAGTACTCATGTTGATGCCAGAATGGTCTAAAAGTGTAAGATTTAAGGCTCTTTAAGTTTAGTAGTCCTATTTGGTGATTTCACAGACCAGGATACAGTCTGAACTGCATGTGGCGTTCCCTCCCCTTCCTTACCTCCTTTATCATTGTGTAATTGTGTGTGCATGTGCATTGGTTTCTGTGTTCATATACTGGGTTCTCTTACATTTCAAATTGTTATATTTTTCTTGTTGTGTTATTACGAGTGAGATTAGATAACTGGTAAGTAACTGTTTGATTATCAACAAAAGGTAAGGAAATGAGACAAAGGCAGAGAAAACAGACAGGAAGAAGAAGAATCTATAAGTTTGTGATCAATTTATCTACACCTTACTACAATGCCACTTATTTATAACAGCTTTTCTGCTTACATCTACTAATAACAAATAATAGCTGTGGTTGTATCACTTAGTTGCCAATCCCAAGTCCCAACAGTTCCACCAACCTTTTCCACCAAAAGTTTTAAGATTTTGTTGACTTGTCTGCTCTGATTATGCCTCAGCACTGATTTGTTTATTATCTATTTAATTATTTGGTTTTGAGATTGATCTTCTTTTGAAATGATAGCATGTTAACTGTATTGTATTTAGAATTAGTAAAACAGTTTCCCTGCACATTATTTAACTACTTTAAATGTTATAATGAGAAAATCTTGATAATTTCATTATGTGCAGCTCATGTACTTGACTTTTCTAACATGCGCACATCCGACTACTACTCACAAAGAAAAAGAATGGAGAATTCATGTCACACTGCTTTAACATATAATCATTCTGAAATGTATTTGACATCATATTTCTTGTTCCAAATAATGTGTGATTTCTAGAAGCCTCCAATCCATGTGTTTTGCTCTTTCTAGATCAATATTGGCTGTATAATGTTGTCTCTAAATCAGTAATTGTTGTTTCTTGTGATGTTATGCTCTGATTTTGTATTGTGCATTTATGTTTACAATCACTTTTTGATTGTTATAAAATATTATAGGTTCAAGACTGGAACTCCATGATTGGACCATTGATTGACAAGATGTTTGCTGAACCATCAAATGCAACTATTGTACGGTTTTTGAGTTATATAAGTGAGCACCTAGCGGAAGCTGCAGATGTAGTACTTCATCGAGTCCTATTGCAGATGCAGTCACAGAAAGGGTCACTACGTGATAAACCTTATGATATATCTATGTTGTTTTTAGTTTCAATACATGCATTTCCCCTTCTTTTGTCTTTTGATTCATTGTTCACTGCTTTAAATCTGTCTTAAAAGGGTGTGGGTTTATGAAGGAATTAGACAATCTATTCTCCAAAATTATAGGTTCACTCTAATGGTCCCTGAACCAGCAACCATAGGTCACAAGAGCAGGAAAACAAATGAGTCTAGTTTGTTTTTTGGTTTGGTTCAGATTGTCGGCTATTTTTTCCTATAATTGATTTCTGAAACCCCACAAGTGATACAACTTATGGGTTGTGATCTACCAGGAAGTGATTATAGACATCTTGTTGAAATATGGATTCTATCAGTGGCGAGTTACCATGCTCTCTGTGGTTATTATCCTCTTTGTGTTTTATGAATTGTTATTTGTGCTTGAGTGAAAATGTAGGAGCAGAACATTATTTGCCTTGGTTTGCAGTTACTGCATGTAGTTGACTTACCTTCTAGATATCTATGTTAAGTGTCTATCCAGTGCTGTGGTTAATAAAGTATCTGGTGCTCAATCTCTGCGAAGTTTGTGCTGCTGTCACAATAAGCCACAAATAAATTAAGAATATTTTCAGTTACCTATTTATATGGTATTTTTTAAGTACAGTTGGAGGCATGAAGCGTATGTGTTTTACTTTATCATTGCAATGTGATCTCTTCCCACTGTACTCAAACAAGGATGTAATTCAGTCCTAGAACAGATTTGTTATCTAGGGGTATCTTTTTGAAAAAAATCTGACAAAATTTTCTCTGATTTTGATGGCACTGGTTGTCACTGAACCATTCTACTTTTTTTATTCTACCAGGATTAAAAAAGGCCTCTTGTCCAGATGGGAGAGTAAATCCTGCCAAAATGAGGACTTAATGGGAATGCAGCAATCTTTGTTTGAGCGCCTTTGTCCATTACTTATAATTCGGCTGCTTCCTCTGAGAGTTTTTAATGACCTCAATTCATTTATTATGTATGGTCAACTTCCCGTCCAAGGCATTACTCACGGTGTGTTTTTGTACTTCCATTATATCTCTCGCTCCTCCTTTTTTACAATCTATATCCATAAATTGATTATAAAGTTGCTTCTGTTGTAAAATTCAATTCAGGTGCTGAATCCTGTGCTTAGCTTTTTCCCTCTTTCAATGATTTATTTTCTTATATCGGTTGGAGTTAAAACTTTTAACTATATGCTTGCCTGCATTTTAGCTAATTGAAATGTGAACCATTTAGACTTTACATGATATGATAATATGTGCACCCTTCTTATAGAATAAGGTATCGTAACTATTTGTTTCTTTATATATTCAATCTCTGCGAAGTTTTGCTGCTGTCACAATAAGGCCACAAATAAAATTAGAAGAATATTTTTCAGTTACCTATTTATAATTGGGTATTTAAGTGTACAGTTGGGGGGACGGTTCCCATTGGGGGAAAGCCTGTTTATGTGTTTTTTACTTTGATCATTGCAAGTGTTTGTGATTTCTTCTTCCCACTGTTACTCAAACAAGGATGCTAATTCCCAGCCTAGAAACAGATTTGTATCTAGGGTAATTCTTTTTTGAAAAAAATCTGACCAAAATTTTCCTCTGATTGTTGCATGGCACTGGTTGCCTCCACTGAAAGCATTCTACTTTTTTTCATTTCTACCAGGATTAAAAAAGGACCTTTCTTGTCCCAGATGGGAGAGTTAAATCCTTGCTCAAAATAGAGACTTAATTTGGCTGAATGCAGTGCTCTCCAATCTCTTGCTTGAGCTGCGCTAACTTGTTTCCATTACTCTAACTAAATTCGGGACTGCTTCTCTCTGAGAGCTTTTTCAATGACCTCCAATTTCATTATTATTTATTGTATGGTCATTAATCTTCCCGTCCCAAGAGCCATTGACTCACGCCGGGTCTCACGATGGTGGTTTTGTTACCTCATGTTATTATCGTCCTTCATCGAGGCTTCTCCTCCTTTTTACAATCTATATCATAAATTGATTATTAAAAGTTGCTTCTGTTGTCTAAACCATTCAATTCAGGTGCTGAATCCCTGTATGCTTAGCTTTTTTCCCTCTTTCAATGATTTATTTTCTTAATTTATCGGTTTGGAGTTAAAACCTTTTAAACTTATATCTTGCCTGGCAATTTTAGCTATTGAATTTGAACCATTTAGAACTTTACATGATATGATAATATGTGCACCCTTCTATATTAGAACGTAAGGTATCGTAACTATTGTTTTCTTTATATATATATTTATATGAACTAATGTGCTTATATGTATATGGTATATTTTTCAATCGAATAACAAATCGATTCGCTTCATGATTTTGTTTTGTTAACAATATCGAGGAGTATAGGTAATTGTAGAATAAGAATTTTAATTACTTGGGAAATATATATATATATTATATTTTCAATCAACAAATTTTTAATTTGTTGTAAAACGAAAGTAATTAAAAGAAATTATACTTGGGAAATATATATATTCTCTTTACATAGAAAAGCAAAAGGCAATCATTAGAATTTCCTACAAAACAAATTTTTTTACTTTGAAAAATGACTTTTGGCTATATAATCAAACGTTGCTTACCCAAAACTGGGGTAAAAGAAACTTTATTAACCTTACTAAAAGGATTGAAATTTCCATTTCCTGGTCTCTAACTGCCTGTCTTCTTGTATTGCCTAGAATGATTCCAAAATAACACAACATTTCTGGACGTTTCCATGATTATCAGATATGGAGCATAAATGAAATGCATATGCACGTGGAAGAAATATCAAGTCTTGACTCCACCATTCCAGTTAACTTATACAATTTAGAACAAGCAATTTATATGACATCGGACATTCAAGCATGATAAATTAATGAACCATTTATGGTTTGTTGGCTTCATTACTGGGTCTCCAATGAAAATCACAGTTTTAGCAAGTATCTCTGCCACTTTTAAAAGCATGCATATATTGGAATCTATCCAAACAGTTCTTGAAGACTTGGTCAAGCAATAGTTTCTTGAAGCTTATAAAAAACTTTTTTTATGGTCTTCCTGCTATCATCATAAGCTCATACCACATTGGAAATATCTACTAAAATCTACTGTTCCAGAATATTTATTATTACAGAAACACATAAATAAAAATATGTAGGTAAGAAGTTAACAGTACTCGGATAATATTTCATGTTTGTCTATTTTGATATCATATACACAGAGGGCATATATTGCCATGCAACATTGTCAGTAGAAAAATCTTCTCATCACTGAGCATAAATTTTGCTCATATGCTCAGCTTGAAGTCGAATTTGTTGATTCATATTCCAGTTGATCTGGATTTCATACACACAATCCCAAATGTGTTTGTCATCTATATCTGAGCTTTGTATTTATGGCAGTCCATTCATGATATCGGTGAATCCTAGCTATGAAGTAGCTGTTTGATTTTCATAATACATCTTTACTTTCTTCACTGGCAGTTTGATGACTACTAACTTTCAGTTTTTGTCCGTGGCAATTCCAGAAAACAGAGATGTCAACAATTTTGATGACTGTGTTGCTGCATTCCTTCTACAGAGGTTAACCCATGAGCACAAGCATCTTCAGGCTTCAGTAACAAAAATAATTAACGTGATGTCTTTATTTTCTTATGTTGTTGCAGGGCATTTAATATGTATGAATTTGAAGATGTACGAAAACTTGCTGCTGAGCTTTGTGGCCGCATTCATCCACAGGTACCTAGAAAGAGAAATTGCCTCAGCTTATTTTCTTTTAATGCATCTTCCTTGACATTTTGGGAGAAAAACTGATATGAAATTCTGGCATTTTACTTAGATGTGATTTAGGCCTGTTTAAATATGCCAAGGTGCACATTTCTTTTTCCCTCAAGTAATCTGTCAAAGGTGTTTAAGATTTACTTCCCAATGCACTTCTCAAAACTCCCATAGTTGGTGTAGGTTCCAATCTTTTGTTTGGCACACGATTTGTGTTAACCATTGGGCAAGGCACCCACGATGGTCGACCGACCCGCTTTGTTTACAACAGCAACATCTAAACCTTAATCCTAAACTAGTTTGTGTTGGCTTTATGAATCCTTTGTTTTCATTCTCCAACCTGGTTCTTTTATACAAAAAATAAACTGGGGCCATGTGTCAATTGTAGACCATAAGTGATTGTCTATGCCAAATGGCAATATCATTGCCTGCGCCTACCATAAACAAGAGCGTTGCAGTGTGTCTAATGCATTTAATAACTCAAATGCAATATCCATTTAGCACTGTCTAACAATGTATTATTTTTTATTTATTCTTCTTCCTACACCAAGTGGATTTACATGTGGTGTTTCACTTCATGCATTAGTAAATAGCAACTTAACTCAAGAAGAAGAAGAGCATGAAATAACACGCAAAATAAGGTGTAGATAGAGTTGGTGACTGTAGTTCTCTTCTCAATTAACTAGCATTTAGGTGGTGAACTTAAACTTCCAACTAATTGAAGTTAAACAAGAAGCAACAAGCTAGTGTTTCAATCAAATTAAGAGTAACTTGTGAGTTATTCTACTTGTTATATTTTCCTTCAATTTGTCTACAAAATTTACATATAGGACGAAATCTTCTCTCATTTGATTATTTTGTTGTCCTTTTTGCACTTGATGTATCATTCAGCATATACTACGGCCTGAAACTGTGAGAATATGTTTAAGGATCCATTATGTCAAAAAGTTTTCTTTCAGAACTGGATTTTAGCTTCGACCTAAGCGTTTTTTGTTTACTGGACACGTGGACTGTTAGATGCATATTGTTATGTCCATTTCTCATAGGCAGTTATTAATAATTTGTGTCACTGGATTATTACTTCATTTGATATCCATTTATTATAATCTTGTATTTGATGATATATTACATAAAGTTATAAACATATTAGAGTTAGGACAGCATACGCTAATCTTATCCTTGTCCCCAATGCTACCCTCCATCATTTTTTTTTTTTTTTTTTCATTTTTTACCAGCTCTTTTTGTAACCTTTTTTTTTTTTTTTTTTAATCTCAGAATACTTTTTTTTGTTTTGAAGGTGCTCTTTCCCATTGTTTCCTCCCTATTAGAAGATGCTGCTAAATGCGAAGATGTTCTGATAATAAAAGCTTGTCTTTTTGCCATTTGCACTTCGCTTGTGGTAAACATTTTCTGCTGTCTCTGACATATAAATTTCTCATGCAGTGAAGGCTATTAGTTTTCACATTTTGTTGTAATTCTAAGAATCTCTTGCCAACTATATTCTTGCTAATTTAATTTCGTATGTTGTTTTGCAGGTTAGGGGAAGGGAGTCAGTTTCTCATCCTATTATTATCCAAATCAGAAAAACAATAGAAACAGTTCTGCTCTGGCCGTCTTTAGATGGGGATGAAGGTAGATAATCCTATTCTTTTGTGGATTCTGTTATTGTATTTAAAATTTGATGGATGTGGATTTCCTCTTCCATTTCAGTTTCCAAAGCACAACACGGATGCATTGACTGCCTGGCACTGATGATATGTGCTGAACTGCCAAATCTTGAATCATTCAAGAACTCGGAGAAGTTCAGCCTTCTTGGGAAGACCAGTTATGCGGGTTGGTATCTCATCCCTAGTACGTTTTTTTATGTTACCTATTGGGGCATATTTGATCCCTTCAGCTAAAATGCAGGGAATTCTGTCTCAGGGAACTCCATCCTTGCTTATGTAATCCATCAACTGACAAGCGATAAGAATGAAGTTCCTGTCTGCACATTAACTAGTGAAAACTGTGAACATGATGCGCCAGTTCTTTGTTCTTTTCGTCTTTGTATGGCTAATGTTCTCTTAAGTGCTTGCCAGAAGCTCTCAGACTCTGGCAAGAAACTCTTTGCTCGAGAAACTCTTCCAAGGCTGATTAGCTCTGTTGAGGTTTGGCTAATAGTCAACTATGACTACCTTGAGTTCCACTAATAAAAACGACTCTGATTGTTTTTAATCTATTCTGTCATTTTTGCAGGTGATAAAGCATGCAGAGATTAGAGCTGCTTGTGTTCAGGTTCTCTTTTCAGCCGTATATCACCTAAAGTCTGCAGTCCTACCGTATTCAGCTGATCTTCTCAAACTCTCTCTTAATTTTCTTCAAACAGGATCTGAGAAGGTAGTAATCCTCAGTTCTTAACAATTTTAATTGCCATTCAAAACTATGACCGTCTTGTGCCTCTATTTTTATGACACAACATACATTCTCACTCTACCGATGCTTTTTCATTGTTTGTTAGGAAAAAATGGCAGGTGCAAAGCTAATGGCATCTCTAATGGCCAGTGAAGATACCATTTTGGAAAGCATATCGAAAGGATTGCTCGGAGCGAGACAAGTGCTCTCGAGGATATCTGCTTCAGATCCTTCAAATGACTTACAGGTAGTATGCAAAAAGTTGCTAGCCTGCATAACTTCTCCTTGAGTTCGTATGAAGTATGCTGCTCCACTTGTACAGAAGAACACCTTAAATTCAGATCCTTTGAAAGGAAAAAACAATCAGATCCTTGAATTTATCATGTTTTGTCTGTGAAGTCTCATAAAGCTTAGTAGAATATTTGCAAAATATACTACAAGTAAAATTTTCATATATTTATTTCCTTTTTTTTTTTTTTTTTGTAATAGATAGCATTGAATAGTTATTTTTAAAAAATTAATAGCTCCTGTTTCAAAAATAGGCTTAGTTTAACTTGCATAAATTAAGAAAATACAGATAATATGATTAAATTATAATTTTTAATAAGGTTTTTTCTAATATAAATTGATAATTTTTCTAATCATGGGTTGCAATTTGTTTTTGGGATAGTATTTTAATTTTAGTCAATGTATTGCTCTTATATTTTAATTAGTCTTTTTATGTATTTTTTTTTAATTAAAATTTTTTGGGGGGTTTTTGTAAATATGATACTATTGGATTAAATCACTCGAATAATTTTTTAACAAAATTATTGGGTTAAGTTAATAAATTTTGAATAAAAATATAAAAATTCAAACATAAATGGAAATAATTGACCATTGTAGTTAAATTTCAAGTGTAAGACTACTAAATAAAAGGATTACTATATGTGAAAGTAGCATATATATATATATAAAAAAAAAAGTTTATTAACTCTATAGTCAAAATTAATCAAACATTTCCTTCCACCATTATTTAAATATTTAAAGCTATCTTTGGATAAGAAAATTAACATTAAAATACTAATCCCATTGCCTTATAGCAAGACAACCTTTGATTAATATTAAATTAGTACTAGGAATATGTTTATTAATAAAGACGTACGAATAGAAAAATCCAAAGATTATAATATACGAACCTGTTTATTTTTTCCTAGTTTAATAGTAGTGAAGGTCCATATTTTAATTATTTTTTTAATATTTACTTAATTAATAGCAACAATATTGTATTTATTAAAAACGATATATATATTAATTGACGATAGAATAAGAAATTGCAAAGATTATTCTCTTCTATAAAAAAATATCAAGCTTATGAAAATTAGATACAAACGACTCCATAAATGATTTACATATTATTGAATTAGAAATTATTCATTAAAAATACAATAATATTAAAAGCAGTTGAGGGGGAAGATGAATATTATATAATTGCAAAAATGTGAAAAATGAATAGTCTATTACAATGTCAATCTCATTCTTCTTGAGGTTTTAGTATGTGAAAATTGGGAAATAAGGAGGTTTCCCATTTATTTGTATTGGAAATTTTATTTTTTCCTATTTTCATATTTGAAAATATATAATTAATATAATTTATTTTTTAAAATTCAAAATTTTGGGATAAATGAAAATTATGCCAATGTGACATTTATAAAAATTCAACTCGGTTCAATTAAAAACCAAGTTGTCTTTATTTAAATCAAATATATCTCTTAATTTTATTATTAATTATATTAAATAATAAAGTGAAATGAATTTTATTCATTTTAAAATTGTAAATAATTATAAATATGCATTATTGAAATAAAAAAATATTATTATAGTAAATAGATTTATAAATAGTACAATGGTGGTGGGACAGCCTCGTTATCCTAAACAACGACCCACAATAAATAATTAAGGACATTAATACCAACTACCAATTAACGGGTACCATATATATCATCGTCGTCATTTCTCTCTTAAACAGAGGAAAACAGAAAAGAAAAGTACAAAAAATTTTGACGGAAAATAAACAGAATACAACCAGTCAGTCAAATGCTGCAACTATTCTTCGCGGTGGCCTTCTCGGCAGTGCCTTTGACTCTCTATGTCCCGCCGATTCGATCTCTCAATCTATTCGTTCAAACAATCGAAGATTTGCTCCGCCAAACTGCTTTACACACTGTTAGAGCCTATCCTCGCGTACGATTCGCTTTCTCTCGGCTCTTCTCCAGTTTCTTTCGCTGGTCAAGGTAGATTTCGCCTTATGAAATTTCTTGCTGCTGCTGTTGCTTGTTGTGCAATTTCTTTTTTATGCTAATTCTGTATTGTGTTCCTGAAACTTAATTAACAGCATTTGTTGTACATGGATGTATTGCATTAAATGGCCTTTTCAATTTGAAGTTGTTTTTCTTTTTACAATAATAGTGCTAATAGAACCCTTAATTCGCCATTTTAGTTGGATAGTTTTGGTGGTTGATGATAATTAATTCCATCTTCTCTTTTCTGTGTTTGGAATGGTACCATTAGGCTTTGAAAGCGAGCAGTCAACAAGAAGATGGGGATTTTCTTGAATGGTGGTTGGTGGTTTGTTTTTTGAAACCTACCAAACCTTAACCAGTGCTTTTTCAGAAACAACTCAAGTCAATTGAGTAACTCTGTCATCATCGCATTCTCAAAATATTTGATCAGCATTGAAAATTGGGAAAATGATAATATTGTACCTCAATTCCCCCCCATTGAAAATTGGGGGAAAATGAAATAATATTGTACCCAATTCCCCCCCCCCCACCCTCCCCTACCTTCCTTTTTTTTTTTTTCTTATTCTATTGTGTTCCACGTATCTATTCAAATTTACAATCAAAAGCCAGAAAGCTGAGTCAGCTGATGTGATACCTATTTTCTGGAAACTTAGATGAAGCTATTTCAAACAACTGAGCTATTTTCATTTCACCCATCCATATGGAAAAGTTCAATCTCATATAAATCCAAATCCACTTGGGTGAAATGGAATATTTCTTAATATAATCAATTTCATACAAATTAAATGAAATATAAACATTCAAAATGAATGGTCATTTATACCAATTACGAAAAAAAAAAAAAAAAAAAGAATAATGAAATACCAATCTACCGCCGTATAAAAGAGAAAAAAACACTAAAAAACGTTGAAATTAAATAAATAATTTTATGAACCTGTTATTCATATGCCTAAAAATAGCTCTTGGAAGCATATTCATACCATATTAATCCATTAATATCAATCCTAGCTAACCCCAAAAGTCTTTTTTCCTTAATAATAAAAAAAAAAAAAAAAAAAAAAGTGAATTAATAAATAAATTTTATGAAATTCATTGCTAAATAAGCTCTTGGAAGCATATTCATCCATATTATCCATTAATATCAATTCCTAGCTACCCCAAGTTTTTTTCTTAATAATAATAATAATAACGATCCATTCAAATCCAAACTGCTTCCCTCCTATGAAGCTCCCAAAAATAAAATGAAATACTCTCAAGCAAACACATGAGAAGAAACATGTCCAAAGTAGTCTAAACAATTGAGCTACCATGAAGCATTAAAAACAGAATGTAACAATTGCAAAGTGAGGAGGAACCTAACATACATACATCCCCCTGACTCATCACATTACATGGGCCGGTGTATGAAATATCATCCATCAATTGTAACTTACTATCTATGCCTACAGAGAATAAAAAGCTCATCAAGGTAATTGTTCGTTCATTTGATCAAATAAGTTAGCCTTGTCTGAATACCCAAATGATACATATGACTTATCTTTCAACTACTTCCAAGTAGATCCACCAAGCCGAATCACCTCTTCACCACCATTATCCCTTCGAGGAACCCTTTCCAGGCCAGCATCCCCTTTCTGATCACTTGCATCACCATACATATCCTTGAGCTTTGCCAGATTGCTAGATGCAGATGTCCTATCCTTGTTTCCATCCCTAGGTGGACTAGAATGACGATCAAATGGTGAAGCAGCAGCTTGCATACTACGACTTCTGCTCCTGCTTCTGCTGCGACTCCGACTATGACTTCTCCGAGTACTTTCTCTATAGTGTCTGCTTCCATCACGGCTGCTCCTTTCATAGTCCCTTCTGCTTTCTCTCTCAGAATACCTGTATCTCCGGTCATAATCATACCTTCGGTCTCTATCCCTGTCTCTTTCTCTGTCCCGATCTCTGTCTCGACCCCCGTCTCTGTCACGCCCATCTCGGTCTCGGTCCTGGTCCCGATCCCTATCTCTCTCTGAATATTCTTTATCAGAATATTCATGACTTTGGCTGCGACGGTTGCTGGGAGATCTTCTTGGATCATCACTCCCTCTATCATAAGAGGGTGGTGGTAGCGTACGGCGAACAGGTGAGGAGTCCCTAGTCGATGCACGATGAGGAGCACGCTGACCAAAAGACACTGAAAGTGCAGCCTTCACAGATGGTGGTCGGCGTGCAGTGTCATCAGATCCATGTCGTACCGAATCCCCAGTTGAACCAGAAGGTTTTGTGGGAAGCTTCATTTTCTCAAGATTTGACCCAATCTGCCGCATAACAGGAACAGGAATGCGGGGGAAAAGGGTATCAAAGTAGTACTGTAAGAGCGACACAGCGTTAATTGCTTTTGCTAAATAACAGTAAGAGAACATGAAAATAGTACAAAGAAATAGAAGATCACAACTTACCTGTCCAAGGAGCAAATCACGCACATATACACCCATTGTAGCCTTTCGTCCGTTAGAACCCGGAGAGAATTCCTGAAATATGATACATCATCATTTGAACAGATTATAACAAAAAGGAAAGTTTACAGACTCTGAATAAGAAAGATGCATATTTATGTTTCACCAAGTTTACACCCAGATTAAAATCTAAAAAATTGTGACAGGCAAATGATTCTGCATTGCAACATAGATTTCCTGAACTATTCTATGCAGAGAAATTCTAAATTATGAATAAAGCAAAGGTCATGAGGAAGTACCTCGTCATCTTTGATGTATGGCTCAAACCAATTCCATAAAGTCTTTGGATCAGCAGCATATCTCAAGTAGAGGAATCCAATCTGCAATCAAATTTCAATGCATCAGTCAACAGTATCACAAGCTCAAAATTAAGATGATGCAGATAAGGCCTACAATAACAAGGAGATCAAAACAATCAAGCACAAAACATGTGCCCATATGTGCACAATGAGAGTAGAAATTGTCATAGATGCAGGTAATGAAATGTGACCTCTAAAATTTTGATGCCAACAAAATACAACATCCCCATCCTCAGCTTCAAAAATTGAGAAGTAGCAGCAACAGGACCCGGGAGATACATAAGGGATATAATACTGGTTGTGTTGTTCAAAATCCCAGATATTTAACAATATCATAAAAATCTAGGAGTGAGAATCAAAAAAATGAGACACCTCAAACCTTGGTGTTGCGTATATCAGCTCGGCAAAGCAAGGGCAGTATAATGTGGGAGTGGGAAAGTCTTAGCAACTCAAAGAAACAAGTACACCTCAACCTGGGTTTGTAGAAATCTGCTATGAAAAACAAGGGCATTATCACGCATGCATATATGTACTAGAGCATGAAAATAAAGATTTTAAAAAGACCAAAATCAGAGATGTTTTGTCCATTACCTCATGAACGAACAAGCTCTTTAATTTTGGAGTGTTCACACTCCAGCGAAATCAGTCAATATTATTTCAAAGTGAACCCAACTAATAATAAGAACATACCTAATCTCAGATATTTAGTTGATAGAACAAATGAGTGTAAGGTCTGATTGAATATTTAATTCCTTATATGTAGTTGAAGGGAAGCATAACTACTAAAAATAACGACTGATGATAAAGACTGTCATAACAGGAAAACTGAAGTATTGATAAAAATCATTATTGATGTTGAAATTCTATCTTGAGACTTGAATAACAAAAATTAAAGCGAAAACCATGGGAACATGTAATGTAATAATATCAAAAACTAATTCTAAAAACAATTCTGAATCATTTCTTACTGAGGCCCAGATATTGAGGGGAAAAAGAAAAGGAAAGGGAGAACAAGTAAAAAAAAAAAAAAAAGAACACTGACGAGCAGATATGGACATGCACATATATTAGCTTATAAAGTGCCAAAACAAATTTCAAGTAACTGAAAGAAGTTAACTCTTGTCAAGTTCTATTAATATGAAGATCAACACTTTTGTGACAGGCTTCTACCTTGTATATCAGCTTATCACCCAACCTTGATGCCAGGTATCTATTAAGGGTAACATGGACAATCAGATGGTGTTTGGTTTGACTACCTACTTTTTAAATCTGACTTATAAGTTAATTTAAAAATAAATTGATAAATATTTGGCAAAATTACTTTAAAAATTACTGTTAAATAGTTCGAGTATTTGGTTGATGGCCACATAAAAATAACTTCATTCATCACAATAACAAAAAAAAGGGTACATTAATCACATAGGAAGTTGAAGGATTTGTTAAAATGATGGTAGTTTTAACAATTTTAAAAGTCATTCTGATAATATAGTCCTTTAATTGGTCAAGGAGTAATTTTAAAATAAATAGATAATCCTACACTTAAAGTAATTTTTTAACTTATAAGCCAAATTGAATGTTCTCTACTCATGACTTTCTACTTAAGAGCAGGTTTGGCTGACTTATAAAGCAAACCAAACCAGACACCTTTCTATAATGGAGGCGAACCAAGTGGTTGGTGTCTATATTCCATTACAGAGTTTACACGGAAATACACAAGTATAAATTATTATAACTTCAAATTTTGTCAGCAATGCCAGCAATGATTGGCATATAAACACAATTATCACCTAGTAAACGTCAGCCTCTAAATGCATCAGTAAAATTAAATTATTCAGTACATGAAACTAAGAATCTAGAAATATAAAGACATGAACATATTAAATTCTAGTTTATTCTTCCACAAATCCTTGAATAAAAAGAAGTCAAAATTAATTTATCTAGAATTAATTTATTCAGTATATGAAACTAAAAATCCAGAAATGCAAAGACATGAACTTATTACATTCTAGTTTATTCTTCCAGAAGTTCCCTGCATAAAGGAGAAAAATTAATTTATCTTTTTACATTTACTATCGATTCCCTATTTCCCTTTTAGATTGGAAGCTTATTTTTTAAGCTCTTTCCTCTCTTTCTTTTTTTTCCTTTTCTTTTGGGGAGGGGGGCAAAGGAAGAATGAACACAACAGAACAGAAAACAATAGAAAAGAGGGACAATTGGGACTTGGGCTGAATATTTGAGGATGGTGAAACTGTTTTAGGGAGGAAAGCAGGGAGTCAAATAAAGAGATAAGAAGGGAAATTGTTACGGAGTAGAGGGAAGAAGGGAGCACATTGTTAGGAAGCAAGAAGTGCCAACAATCATACCAATTAAGGGGGTGATAAGGATGACTAGATCACCTACTGGCTATAAATTAAAGTTGCAGCTCAATTAACAGTAAACAGTAAAGAAGCTTTCCTTCATTCCTTTCATGTCTTTATTTGACAGTAAACAGAATAACCAACAACTCAATAGAAATGTGGTAAAGAAGCTTTACTGTTAACTAAGAAAGAAATACAAGCTTAACGGAGATCCAAATAACAGGAATAAGAGAATAACAATTTCAGGAAACAAATCCCCTCACTTACCTGAAACCATGGACACCCTCCCTCAGAAGGGACCTAGCTTCTACCCTTACAATGACTTCGGAGCCACATCCTTCTCTTTATAGTGGGTAGATGATTTAGTAATCCATAACACCCTTTAATTTAGAGGCCCTTTTTGCTTTCTTATTTGCTCACTAGCAATCTGCTCCCTTTTTACATCCTTAATTAGCTCACCAATTTGCTCTCTAATGAAATGTTTCTAAACAAATTGTTGGTGCATGATGAACTGATGCTCGAATTCCAAAATGTATAGTGCAAGAATGTGCAGAAATAAACAAGGTGAAAAAAAAGGAAAGAAAAGAATTTAATGTTAAAAGAAGCTTTGATTTTGCATATGACAGAATAATCAACGAAGGCAGTTCACATCAAATAAGCAAAAACAAATGTCATTTCCATTCTGAATTTGAATGGAAGGCACAAACATAAAGAGCGGATAACAGAAGTTTTTGGTATCCATGGGGGGATCATCAAGCATACGTCATAATCAAGTTTTAGGCAAAAGAAATTATAAATTAATCAAGTTTTAGGAAAAAGAAATTATAAATTCAAGACAAGCAGGTTGGATTATGCCAGCATTAAAAAAACAACTATAAGCAACTTGCAATACAAGGGATCAGCTACGTCTGGGGCTGATTTAGCAAAACCAGAGATCATTATTAAGCCATTATGCACATTCTATATATAAATGCTCATCTCAATCCGCTGCAAATGCATGATCATATAATAAATAAATAAATGAAACATCTAATCAATATAAATTATCCCTCCAATTTAAATCATTATAAAACAAATATAAATAAATTAGGGTATGGCATATACCGCTCTGATATAAGGAGAATCCTTGTGCTTTAATAGACCATGCATTTGTTTGACTGTTAGTTTCATGGTGAAAAACTTGTACAGAAGACAGAAAGCAGTCGACGGGCCACGACAGTTCCCAGTCATCCAAGGCTCCACATGATCAACTTGGTTATAGATTTCATCTATCACTTCATGGTAAGTCTTTAAACGATATAGCTCCTTGAAATAATCAGAGGACAGAATATTCATACAAAGAACTTTCTCCAGCAGGGAATCAATAGGCTTCCCACTTGTTTGTATCTCCATAAATGATTATCAAAAATACTTCCACTCCTAAGTTCTTAACAATCCAAATTGACAATGTATGTAGTTATCTTGCAGTATCAGTTCATAAAAACCTTAAAATTCCATTCCTACATCAACAAATCATCAAACGGTAACAAAATTAGCCAAATAGTAACGAAAAGAGACAGAATTTTGAAAAGAGGAAATTAAAGGGTATCGAAAGTTGTTTGCATTTGCTGAAAAATTCATGAAACCAAACAAAACAACCCAGTCAACAACTACGTATCGTAGAGAACACAGGTATGATTTTTCCTCAGCCATACGCTAGTATGACTTAGAAGTAGATATAGGAATAAGGCAGCATAAGTTATAAACAGATTGAGTTTAAATTTTTTCTTTAACGTTTGAAACTTTAAAAGTATGAGAAATAATCGAATATGGAAACAATCTTTTCCAATGTAAAAACAGAAAAAGTCTTTTCTCAAAGAAGAAAACAATTGAAAATTACAGTAAAGAGTCGTCACTTTTTCTGTTTTCTTATTTACATAGAGAATAACCATAAACACTAAAACTTAAACAGATAATAAAACGAGTACGGTGCTCTACCAACTTAAAATAAAAACTTACAAAAACTAAATATATGAATATTCTCCATGATTTTCTTGAAAAGATAAGAGACTTTTAGAGAGAGAAGAGGAAACCAACATTCGCTGCAATTGAGAAGTCAAAATTGGGATTCGCTAAATATATGAATATGCTCTTTTGATTCGGTGAAATTGAAAATTTAGTACTTCTTCGTAGACGAAAGAAAAAAAATTATGTCAAAGTCAATTTTATTAGAAACCCCGTTACGATTTTCAGATTTTGTTATTTTAGGGATAAAAAAATAAAAAACTAGGGCAATTGAAGCAAAGAAAAAGAGAGTAGGGATAGTTTACCTTACTATGGCTGGTAGCCTGGTATCGCAAAAGGTAGATGGTTGCTTGATGAATCTTCTTTTGTGCCTCCGATTGATGAGAGCACTGAAATTTTTAGGGCTCGAGAATGGTAATGAGGTTGAGGGAGAGATGATTCCTTTATATGAATGGTTGAATGGCTTAGATTAATTGGCTTCGAATGAATGGTTGGATTCAATTTTAGGCTATGCGAGAAGCGACATCGTATAAATGCAGGAGGATATGAAAGATAAATGTTCAATGTTCGATTAGGTTTAAAATTAATTTCGGACGAAGTTGTATAAATTTAATTTTGGAAATTAATTTATTTTTTAAGAATTTTATATTGTATAAATCTTTAAAATAATAAGATATTTTCAAATAAAAGACGATGGAAATCAAAGAATCGTGTGGTTAATCTTCTTTCAACCAGTGCTAATAGGTGGGGCTTAGGGACCAAATTCTTCAAAATTAAAATTTCTTCTTATAAATTTTATGTATGTTTTTAAATATATATATATATATATATAGCTTTTTTTTAGGAATTTTAAAAATATATATAGTTAGTTTCGGTCTCCGTAAGAAAAATATCTAAAATTTATTTTGTTGTTGATATCAGTTATTGATTTGTTTGATTTAACTATTCATATCAATTCATAATTAATGATAGTTGTTAATACCTAGTAGTTTTAGTTGATAACAATTAGCTAATTAATATTGGTATTTGGTAAAATTTTAATGGTGGTTATTGTTAAATTATAATATGGCTATTAAGAATATAATTGTTTATATATATTATGATAGATAATATATATCTTTTAATTTCTAAAAATTAGTATATTATTTTTTATTTTAATTAAATAAAAAATTATAATTAAAATTTTTTAAAATAATATTAATATTGTGTATGGGTAATTTATGACGTGTAATTCATTTTTTTTTTTGATAGTATGACGTGTAATTCAATTGATTTGGTATAAGTCCGTCCTCCGTCTGGTTAACCCAGAAAAACCCGTTGCATGATTTTCTTTCTTTCTTTCTTTTTCTTTTTTTAAGGAAAAAGGATAACAGTTCAATAAGAATGGCCAAAACGAACCGTTGATTCAAAGAAGAGTGAGCGAATAAACATGAATTAAAATGGTGAAACGTTCGTGGTACATAACACATCACATGAGCAACTGTTTCATGTTCTCCCATCTCCTGTAAGGACCCCATTCGATATGGAATCATATCCACCAATCTGTTGTCCACCCCAATTGAAAGAGATGCTTTTCCATTGCGATTCACCATTTAATTCTGCGAATCTATGTCTGCAATTCAGAAAACCTAATGTTAGGTTATAAAAAAAAAAAAAAAACACTCTTTCAATTCCAACATTCTCTCTTAAGTCAGAAGTTAGGGTTATATATATATTGCTTATAAACAAGAAGTTTTATGTGGCATTCTTTGTACAATTGAGTTTTTTAACCATCCGTGCAGCCCCATTATGGGGAAAAAAAAAATACTTGAGATAAGAAAAGTTGTGGGTTTTAAGAACATTTTGAATATCAAATTTCATGGCTGACTCTTCGAGGATGGCGTGGCTTTGGTCTATTGAGTATCTAGCACAGTTCCAGCAATTGGACCCATCATTTATACATGGTATGTATACGTATATTTATCTCTGAGTATGAGCGATTTTCATGTATTCTGAAAGCAAATATTGTTTTGATTGGTTTTAATGGGTGAGATATGAAATATATGAAGCTAATTCTAAGCTTGCCGTAGAAACTTGCTGCAGCTGCTGCTAATTTGGAATAGGCAGTGTTTAAGGTGTATTTTTTTATGGTTCATTTCTTTCAGATTTGATTGATGAGGCTCCAGAATTATCTGAGGATTTGGGAAATAGCACAAGGGAAATGGTTGCTTTAAGATGCTTGGAGCAATTGTTTGGCACTAGTAAAGAAGTTGGGAAAGATGTTCCTTCTGTGACAGAGCCAAAAGATGCATTTGAATTCTCAAAGAGCTGCGAAGATATGCTCCAATCTGTACTGAAAGAGGTAGTTTTTTGCCTTTTGTTTGAAGGAACCACTTAACTAAAGGAAATTCGAAGCTATAATACATTTCTTATATAATCTGGTTTTAATTATGGTACTTTTTTTATGCGAATTCCTGGATTTCTCTACGCTCAGAGAGCATTATCAGATTTAAAAATGCCAGGAGGGGATCTGTTGAAATGGGATATTCATCCTTTCATCATGCACAAAAGAGCTTCCATGCCAAAATGTGCTTTAGAACAGGTAATGCAAATGTCCTTTTTGCTTTTAGGTAATTAGTTATTCTGCATCATTTACTATGTTTGATTCCTTTGTTGTTTACAAACAGCTGAAAGATACAATTCTTGAAGGTACCCATCCGTATGATGATTCCTTGACAGAACTTAGTGGGCTGGTGCATAAAAATGTTGGGAATGATAGGATCACTGTGGATTATGGTGGTCGTAATGCACTTACTAGGGGGATTGACAGCAATGCCTCTGGCTCACAAACTATGGCACCAGAAGGGGGCACCATTTCTTTGTCACTTGAAAATACGAAAGGAATGGTAGAAGGTGATTCATATCATAGAGAATTTTTACTTTTTAAGAGGAAAAAAGGTGATATGGATAATGAACATCCAGCTGGAGCGTACCACGATGAACAAGATGGTGATCTCAATTTAAATGTCAAGAAGTTTAAGCATGGTACATCCTCTGCTAATAAGTCCATGGAACATTATTTGAATCCTCAATGTGGTTATGAGTTGATAGAAGATTCTTCTGAAGCGATGGTTAGAGTTACAGAGTATGAAAGTTGTCATATGGAAGGAGAGTCTCAAGCAGGAGGGTTGGGTGAATCTAGATATTCAGAGAATGGTCATTACAAATTTGTTGCTATAGAGAGGCTTGGGAGAAGTCCTAATGCTAATGCTGATGTTGAATTCCAGCAATATCAACGTGAGAATGATCATAATGCCAATAATATGCTGCCAGATACATCTGGAGATAGACCCTGTCAATATATGTTTGTGGATGAAGTCAATAAAGCTGAACCTAGCACATCAAATGATACACCCTTTGCGAGAACCCAGCAAAAGGTCTTTGCTGGTGACACCAACAATATCAGTGATGGTAATCAAGTAAAATCAGTAAATGCTGTTTCCTCGAGTGAAATTTCTAGAAGGATTACTGTTGAAAAAGCAGGTTGTGGTACGGAGCATCTTTATGAAAAAGACACTTCAATTGATGGTGATGAGTATTGTCATGAGCGGGTTGATGTGGCTATGGAAAAGAGTCATTTCTTGAGCTCTCAATGCACGTTAAATCATGTTTCTCAGGAAAACTGGACCGAGCAAAACCTTTGTGTGAAATGTAGCGAAGGTGGTCAGTTGTTGGTCTGTAACGCTGTTGGTTGTCCATTGGTGGTTCATGAAAAGTGCTTGGGTTCCTCACCAAGATTTGATGAGAATGGAGAATTTTACTGCCCATTTTGTGCATATTCACTTGCTATCTCCAAGTACCTCCAAGCCAAGAAAAATGCCTCTTTGGCTAGGAAGGAACTAGGTGCATTCATTTGTAGACGTACTAGGAGATCACGTAGCAATGGACAAAATAATTTAGAACAGAATGAAGATAGGTGTCATCTTTACATGGTCCATGAGAGTGGGAATTTGGCAGAGAAAGAATCTGATCAAACAAATAATGAAGGGCATGCGAATAGATTGAATGACCAACTTAAGAAAAGACAAGGTGATGGGAAACCAATGGAACCTATAATATCATGTCCCGATGTAAATTTACTGGATGGAGAAGAAGAGCCAGATGTAACTCCTGGAGAAAAGGAAAGGAAAGAGCTGGTTCCAGAATGCTTACATGTAAGGGAAACTGACAGACAAGACCAAATTTGTGCTGACCCAAACAGCAATGTTGATAATCAAATGTCTAAAAACAAAGAGGTTGTTATCTCTTTAAATAAAACACAAACTAATGGAGGAATTCAGAGGGAAGTTCTAGAGCAACAGAATAGTGATTTGGTTGAGAAGCCTGTTGGTGCCATAGATATTGATAAAGACTACCACCATGAAGGGCATGCGAATAAAGTCAATGAACAACTTAAGAAAAGACAAGGTGATAAGCAACCGATGGAACCTATAATATCATGTCCTGATGTAAATTCACTGGATAGAGAAAAAGAGCCAGATGTAACTCCTGGAGAAAAGGAAAGGAAAGAGCTGGCTCCAGAATGCTTACATGTAACGGAAACTGACAGACAAGACCAAATTTGTGCTGACCCAAACAGCAATGGTGATAATCAAATGTCTACAAACAAAGAGGTTGTAGTCTCTTTAAATAAAAAACAATCTAATGGAGGATTTCAGAGGGAAGTTCTAGAGCAACAGAATGGCGATCTGATTGAGAAGCCTGTTGGTGCCGTAGATATTGATAGAGAAACCTCTGTTGAGGGAAATGAGGAAAATATAATCTCTAATTACTCCAGAAAATTCCGGGGGAGAGAGAGGCAATAGTAAGTTTTTACTGCTAATATCTAATTATTCAGTGTTCTCTTGATTATTGTTGTCTTTCTTTATTACCAATTTTCATGAAGTAGTAGAATGTTATTCCTGTGATAAATAGTTGATGGTATATGTACATTCTGTTTCAATGTGCAGTGTATTCCCAGCATTGCCTCGGACATTGAGGCGAAAGAAAGTTCCATGGACAGCTAAGGAGGAAGAGATGCTTAAGGTACAGAATTAACATGTCCAGTTATGATTTGACATGCCTTTATGGTGGTCCAGACTCCAGTGTGTTACTTCATATAAGCAAAAACATATTCATATTCTTGATATAAGCTCATCAAAACTATATGTGCCTGCATGTGTAAATGGAGATTTTCTTAGCAGTATATATGATTTTTGTAACTTGTCAAGCACATATATGGTGTTTTGGTTTTACTTTTTATGATGAGGTGAAGTTTGCAAAAGATCAAGTGGTTTACCTGTTTTTCACTTTGGAGGCTGGGGTTTTCTCTTTCTTCTTTTGGGGTATCAATCAAGTACCTGACTTTTTCATCCTTTGTTCACTTAAATATCATTTTTGATCGACACTATTAACAGTGCATTTATGACTGATTATCTGATGTAAAATAACTCATTACATGAGTTGAATCTTTTTTTATCAATGATGTTTTTATATTCCTAAAGAGTAAAACATATTTTTACATAATGTTTTCTGTGATAAAATTTTAATTTACAAAAACAAAGAATTGATAGCATTGCACTGACTTGATGCCTTACGTTGATTTATCTAGGTGTCACATGTATAATTTGCAAAAGTAATTTTTACTTTTTCACATTAGTGCAATATAAGATTGATTTGATAATGTCAACCAAAAAGGTATAACTAAAGTGATAGGTATGAAAATCTTAGGTACTGAGTCACAGTGCGAACATTTTAAACCATAGTGTTTTTATACTTTTCTCTTTGAAATTTCTTTTATATATTCATATATGCTTCATATATGTCCATTCGACTACTGTTTTTCTTTTCTTTTTTTCAGTTCTCGTTGGTTTAGTTAATGTTTCCATTCTTTTTTTTATAGGAAGGAGTGCAGAAATTTTCAACTGCTGGTGACAGAACTATCCCGTGGAAGCAAATTTTGGAGTATGGTAGTACGATATTTAGTCACCGAACTACAATAGACCTTAAGGACAAATGGAGAAATATGTGCAAGGGAAGTTCTAAATGCAAATAGTTTGTCAGCCTGGTCTCTTTGCTTGGTAAGTTACTTTCCCATACTTTGGTCTGCTTCTTACTGAATTTATTAATAATTAATTTTCCTTTAATCCCTGGTTTCTGGAAGATTACATTGGACAAATCTCATCTTAATTCTCTTCATTAATGAGCAGTCTGAGGGATCCTTTTGCTTATAGGTTGTGGTAGCTATACAACAGTCATGCCAGACGTCGAGAAAAATAGCACTGCTTGCCTGATGATATGGTTGATGCCGTGTGTTCAGTTTTGCTATCTGTGAGTCAGAAGTTTAGGAAGTTAGAATGCACACTTCTACTTCAGATCATGACAAATATGATAGATTATTGTCCAAAGAGCTTGAGTAGTATAGGATGGACTCTTCTGTATTTTTCTCTCCAACATTGTAAGGGGTAGATACCTAGAATTTAGACATTGCAGTTGTTTCAATTTCATATGTATAGATACTTTTGCTGTTCAATGAAAAAAAAGCTTGTAAATTGTAATAATGAGAATCTTTTAACTTTGCTTTGCTAAAAGAAATCTTGTTCTGAACCATGAAAATGTTCTTTTTTGCAAAATACCATGTTCTGCTGAAATTTTCTTTTGCACTGGTACAAGTCCAGGTTACTTTATCAATCAAACTATAGAATGAGATTCTATAGCAACACCAGCATACACATTTTTTTTGTTCTTGTTTCTTGTTTTCATCATTCAGTCATTTCATTGACTTCTTTGGATTTACCAAGGAGGGGTTAAAAATGGAAGCTCTTTCTTCCAAGTTACCTCACAATTGTGCATTTCTTCTGCTGTTGATTTTGTAGTTTTAGCAGTTAATATGCAGGCTTGTTCTGGTGCTAACTACTGGAGCTTGAGAAAAGATATTCTACAATTTGTCTTGTTACATCATCTATCCATCTCTTTGTTTTTTTTTTGTCAGCATCTAAAAATCTCCCCATTCTGGGCAAGTTGATTCTAAAAATCTCTAATTTTTACTCGTTCCACGGCAACGGAAGCTTCCTGCACTATCTTTATCGGTCTTGAGAGATAAGAGGAGGCTAAATTAGCTAAAAGATGGTTCGGATAAATAAAATTCATCTTCAATGCATGTTAAGAATTTGAGTCATAGGAGCAAATTAATTAATCAACCTCAATTAACAATATACTTAATATTTAAACTTATAACTAGTTGGACCTTACCTTTTTATACAAAAATATCCTGTGATTTTGGTCGATTCATCCTCAATCCTCATTATATGTCTTTTGCTTCATATATATTATGCGGGATCCACGTACTTCAACAATAGCTTTATCAAGATAAGAAGAAATTGCGCAAATGCTTTCTCGTAGATTTGTCACTCTAACAAAGATACCATATATTTTGATATTATTGATTATTTTTTAAAATTCATTGCATTACGAATATGACACTATGAGTTTGACACGTGGCATGATTTAGAACAGGTCTAGTATTTTACTATGTGCATAATTATCCATGAGAGAGAGAGAGAGAGAGAGAGAGAGAGAGAGAGAGAGAGAGAGAGAGATGGCATGATTGATAGAAACAGGTCTAGTATTTACTAGTCGCATAAATTATCCATGATAGACGGAGAGAGAGAATGAGAGAGAGGAGAGAGAGAGAGAGACGGAGAGACGAGAAACGGCATGGGGAGAGAGAGAGAGAGAGAGAGAGAGAGAGAGAGAGAGAAAGGCATGGGATAAAGGTGACAAGGTGAAGAGTCTCTCGGGAATCAGGTCATAAATTGCAGGACAACATGTGAAATAGGGCTCGTGAAAGTGAAAATTGTTTGGAGGTGGGTTGTCCTCTTAACTTAAGTACATGTACAGACACTAACTAATTTAGAATCCAAGGAGGGAAAGCAACCCAGACTTCATTAAAAGCATGCACTTCATCTCATTACTCTAAAACAGCCAAAATTTATACTACCACTGAACAGAGATGGTAATTAGTGACTTAGTCTTCTAACGTACGAAGGAACAACACTACATTCTAATTCTAATTAATTTGAATATTAGAACATGTGATTAGCTTTCAAACTTTTCTTGTTGTTTTGTTTAGTAGTACAACTGTACTGCAAGTTATCAACAAAATGTTAGTTAAGGTGGTTAGCGACCTCAATTTCCGTGAGAATAAAAATACAAATTTGATTTTTGAAAAATGCACTTTGCTAAGAGAGCCAAAAAACTATTTTTAGATTTAGAAATTAAAAAAAATATATATGAATGGAAAAAAAAGAAATTTCATTTACAATGCCAGTTCTAAGAATTAAACCCCATTCCCATTCAATAAGATAAGGAGCAATAGAGCCAGTTTTTATCTAGTGCTATCAAGCAAGTAAAGCAAGAATTTGAAAAATTCCTTAGTGTTGACTCGCACTCGTACTCAATAACGGTCACATGGGTATGAAACTTTGCCAAAACGTGACACCATTTAAACCGAACTACACAATCACAGTCTCACTCCCTACAAATCCCGCGCCCTTTCCACCCCATTTTCTTCAGTATTCTCTTCACTTTCACTTCACTTCCAGTCTTAACCAGAAAAAAAAAAAAAAAAAAAAAAAAAAACGGGTGGCGGAGCTTGTGCAGCGTCGTGCGACGTCTGCGGCTGAGTGGCTGGTAACCAGAAAAAAAAAAAAAAAAAAAAAAAAAAAAAAAAAACGAATCTGCTCCCTATGCGAATAAATTGCCAGAGTAAATCTTCCATTGAAGCCATCGGAAATGAAGCGGTCCGACCAAGAGGCAACAGCAGTGGGTCCGCAAAATTGCCATTGCCTCGCAGTATGCGAGGAGTTCGACAGAAGAACTTGGGGCAAAAATTGGGTACCAGCGGTATGCAGAAAGAAAAAAAAAAAAAAAAAAAAAAAAAAACAATCTCTCCCATGGAAAATTGCAGGAAATCTCCATTGAAGCCATGGAAGAAGGGTCCGACAAGAGGCAAAGGTGGTCCGCAAAATGCCATGTGCGAGTATCGAGGAGTTCGACAAAGAACTTGGGGCAAATGGGTAGCAGAAATTAGAGAACCCAAAAAAAGAAGTAGACTTTGGTTAGGTTCTTTTGCAACTGCAGAAGAAGCTGCCATGGCTTATGATGAAGCTGCAAGAAGATTATATGGACCAGATGCTTATCTCAATCTTCCTCATCTTCAACCTTCTTTAATTAACAACAAATCTAATAACAGTAATAAGTTCAAATGGATTCCTTCCAAGAATTTTATTTCCATGTTTCCTTCTTCTTGCGGGTTACTTAATATTCATGCACAACCTAGTGTGCATGTTATTCATCAAAGACTTCAAGAATTCAAGAAAAATAGTAATGTTTCTTCTTCTTCTTCTTCTGATTCAAAGATTATAATAACCGAAAAACCCCATGTCGAGAATCCTCCATTAATGGAAAAACAAGTGGAAATAACAACATCAGAGAAACCACAGATTGACTTAAATGAGTTCCTCCAACAAATGGGTATTATAAAAGTAGATAGGCAACAAGAAGAAGAAAGTGATACAACAGAAAGCTGTTTGGTGCAAGAATCTCAAGTAAAAGAAGATGAGTTTTATAATAATTATAATAATAATAATAATCTTGGAGCTCTAGCAGATAAGAGTTTCAATTGGGATTCATTGATTGATATGCATGGAATTGGAGGTGGTGGTGATTATGATCAAGGAGTAGAATCATCAGGCACTTTACAAGTTTATGATGCTCAAGATGAGTTGGCTGCTTTCCCTGCTTCCATCTGGAACTTCTAGAAGAGATTTTGCTAGGTTGGAGAGAGAGAGAGAAAGTTCACTTGTCTCTGTCGTAGAAGCAATGGAACTAATTCGTTTGGCTTATGCTTGCTAGCTATAGTTTTCATGAGCTTACGGTATGTTTGTTTGTCTCATATTAAAAAGGTCTATTTCTGTTTTTCCATTTTAGGTTTTGCTCCTATATTTATTTTTTTGGGCTTGTAACATTGCAAAAGGATTAATTTTGTCTCGAGGGAAATCTTTAATGATGATTACCTGAGTTACTTGACATCTTATATTTGAATTTCGAAAAACAAATAAAGAAATCAAAACTTTAATTATATATTAAGTATAACATATATATTTAGTATATAACAAAAATAAATGGAATAAAATGTTATCAAATAAAAAATTAATATAGTAATAAACTAAAAAAGTCATTTAATTAAAGTTTTACATTCTACTAACCATAGTTTAACAATTTTAATGTCCATGTGCAGCCTCACCATAGGAATGAGAAAAAGAAAAAAAAGAAAAAAAGGAATGAGCCTATGTAATCAACATGAAATAAAATAGGAAAAATTACTAGTACAAACCTATATTATGCTAAAATTAATCATTTTGTTCTTGCTTTTTTATAATTACACTGCATCTCCTAAAATTTGCTTTCATGAATGGAAATGTACTTTTATTCACTTTTCTTTTTATAGTTTCCATTAAATATCCTATGAAAAAATAAGGATATTTTCATATTTTCACAAGACATTTAATGATAAAAAGCTACAAAAATGAAAGGAAAGACTAAATAGTTGACGAAATCAAATATTAAAGATAAAATAATATATTTGTAAAAAAAAACGAGGACATAGTGATTAATTTTTACATAATCCAAGCACGTAATAATAGTTTTCACAACAAAAGATCACAAGCAAAGCACTAAAACAGTGAAAATGGTAGATTTTCTCGAGAAGATAAAAAAGAAAAAAGAAAAACAAAGGCAGATGTTGCACGTGATGCACCATATCCCTTTAACAAAAATTTAAATGGATAGATGCATCCTTTTACTGAAGAACAAAAATCTCACACAACCATAACCATACAAGACTTGGGGGCAATTCTCCTTCAATAATGATTTATGATAAGCTATCCTTTTTGCTTTTCTACTCTCTTCTTGTTTTAATGAGGAAAATCAAACCCCACCTATTCACAGTCAAAACCAACTGCATTGGTACAATTCTATGCCTAACATTTCCTGTGATGAGAAAGGTTTTGCTCTTTCTTTATCACTTGTGATGCAAAATAAAATCTGGTTGAGAACATGTCTCCAACTTCTAGTAAAAGAAACATCAATTACAATTGCATAAGACAATGTTTGGATTGATGGATTTTAATACACATCCAATCCATGGAATCATTCACACCAAAAAAGAGAGAGAATATAAATCCTTGAAATTAAAATTCAGGTTCTATTCCAATGATTTTGACATATTCTCTTGATTTCAAAAACTCCTGATTCAAAATACTGGCAAGCCTTTTTTTTTTTTTTTTTTTTTTTTTTTTTTTTTTTTTTAATTCCAGAATCCCCAACCTATAATCAACAGTCAAAACCAACTGATTGGTACAATTCTATGCCTAAATTCTCCTGTTGATGAGGAAAGGTTTTGCTTCTTTTCTTTTTATCACTTGTTGATGCCAAAATAAAATCTGGTTGAGGAACAACATTGTCTCGCAACTTCTAAGTAAAATGACAACATCAATTACAATTGCATATAGACCAATGTTTGGATTGATGGATTTTTAATACACATCCAATCCATGGAATTCATTCACACCAAAAAAAGAGTAGAATATAAATCCTTGAATTAAAAATTCTCAGGTTTCTTATTCCAATGATTGACATTACTTCTTTCTTGATCAAAAACTCCTCTGATTCCAATAAATACTGGCAAGCCTTTTTTTCTTTTTTTTTTTTTTTTTTTTTTTTTTTTTTTTTGGTGGTGCTACCAACATTTCATAGGATAACATGTTTGTGAAACTTGTTCGCATTAAACAAAACCCAAAAAACCCTTTCCTCCATCACATACTATTCAACGATAAATAATGCCAAGTAAAATCCAAACTTTAAGAAGATTAAGATTCTTTGCAATGGGCTGCCTATCCTTTCGTTGCATTATTCGCTTATTCATTCTGATATTCGACACGGCACTTAGATACTTCACCATGTTTCCGTCAAAGAAAATATTCAATCAGTCGCTTTAAAGAAACCCAATTCACTAGTCCACTTTGTTCTCAGTGTTCAACAGGACTTTTTTTTTTTTTTTTTTTTTTTTTTTTTTTTTTGGTGGCTACCAACATCAAGGATAACATGTTTTGAACTTGTTGCATAAAAAACCAACCTTTCCTCCAAATACTATTCAAGATAAATAATGCCAAGTAAAATCAAATTTTAAGGAATTAGATTTCTTTTGCAATGGGCTGCATCCTTCGTGCATTATTGCTTATTCATTCTGATATTCGGAGGCACTTAGATACTCACCATGTTCCTCAAAATATTCAATCAGTCGCTTTAAGAACCCATCACTAGTCACTGTCTCAGTGTCACAGACAAGGCAACACTGTCGTCTTGCTCGTGTCACAGCCACATTCATTCGCCGGTGATCACTTAAAAATCCCACCTGATATGTTCGACAAAATTCAACAGTTCAACTACTAAATATGCTAAAATTGAGAGTTCTAACATCTGTATCTAGAAGAGAATGAAAACAGGAGCACCAAAAATGACTTAGAGATACCTCTTTCTTTGAGTTTGACCTAACCATTGAAATAATGATGGCTTCCTTCTCTCGGCCTTGGAAACCATCAACTGTTGAGATTTCCATATCCTTTAGCTTATCTTCATTGCTCCTCAATATCTTCAGCAAGACAACCTGCAGTACCACTTGCAGAATATCTAAGGAAAGGCCATTCAAAATGCGTATAGGTGTACAGAGAAGATATTCTTTGTCTGGCAGTTGCTTTAGTTACTCACTTAGCATTTATTGAATTGTGAATGATGAATATTAAAATAATCGAAGAATTGCTAGTTAATAGAAACCTGAGCAGCATAAGGGGTAATAATTCCAATGTCCGAAGCCTGGACTCCACTCTCAACAAGTCTCTTTGCATGGGCTATAGCAACCTCAGCTTCTCCCTCATTCATCGTGCTATCTTCTTCATCCTTCTTTTCTTCCATGTCACATCTAAAGTACAATAGCATGAACTAATTATAGTCCTATTTTCTTTTTACCGCTTTATTAACATTTTAAGAGCAAATGAATTAACTTTCTATACCATTTTAGAAATATACATTTGAAATACGTACCCAGCTATGTCTATGAGAAGAAGGGTCTGTTCTGTGGAAGAAGACCTCTTTACACCCTCAAGATCAAGTAGCATATGTGCAGCAACACTAGGATGAGCCTTGATCTGAAATAGTAATCCACCACATAAGAAGAGAAAAAGGATCAAACGGAAGGAAGAGGAAGAGCAATTATTAAAAATCTATCTCATCAATCAGAATACAAATTCCCATTCACTAAAAATTTCCTCAGGTAAAAGAAGCCTGAAGATAAGTTTAGCACCTTGTTATTGTAAAGCTCCTTAGATGACCAGTTCATAATAAGTTCATGCATGCGGTATTGTACTGTTAGCATAGAAGTGATTTCATCAGCATACAGATGTGCAAGGCGTTCAAAGAGGGTTCTTCCTAAGCCTTTCTTCTCCGCTTCAACACTTTGGATGGTTGGAGGAAGCTGAAGATGATCTCCTGCAAGTATACACCTTGAACCCTGGAAGAATGATCACAGTTCATTAACTAGTGCTAGGAGTGTTAATTCATGCTCTATATTACAGATTGTAGGCCACAATTAACATTGTTACTGCCCATTATCAAACTTCATCCAGAACACATTAACTAAGACCACACATGCTGCAAACAATAAATCAATGTAAGATTCAGATAAGCATTTCCATTTTAATTCAACTAAACCTCAGTCCTGATTAGATAGGTCAGCTACATGCATTTCAGCAGTATGAGACAACTTATCACATGCAAATCTTGAACAATTAGATTTGGTCAAGTCAAATTTAAATATGCATGTTATCCTGTTTCAAATGTGTGTATCTGCATCCTGTGCCACATGAAAATAGCAGATATCCACCACAATCTAGTTTAAACGGATGAGCAAAAGCAAACCTCTATTTTCAAATTAATTCAGGTTGTGTGCAGGACTATGGAGTACACCATTACCTTTAATAAAGCAATCCAACAAGCTATCTCAAGTGCCTGAGCAGCTTCATCAATAATAACCAAATCAAATGAAGTACTGTCCAGCTTGCGGGATAATGCGCCAGTTAAAGTTGTCAATACTACGTCTGCATTCTTAATTACATCTGTTACAGCTAGCTGCTGTCTTTTGCGTTCTTCTTTTGAGAGTGCCCTGAGCTCCTTCTGGATGTCTCTTCTTGTGCTTTTGTCCTTGGTTTTCAATAATTTTCCATTTAGTGCCTGAAGAAAGGCAAATAGGATATGTTGGGAGCACATAAGAATTTTTATTAAACTTTGCTACTAAGAAACTCACTCTTGAAAGAACTTCAGAAAAAGATGCCTGCTAATGGTTTCTAGTTCAACAACAGAAAGGGTAGATTGTACTAGTCAAAGCGCGTAGTGATACAGGAGTATCTATATATATGGCTTTTAGTTATGGGTAGCCAGTCATATACATCTTGGTAGCAATTCTAGTAAATTTAGTCTGCTTATTACTTCAGGAAGATGTAACTTACCTGAAGAATGTATTTTAACACACAACTATAGCAACCAAAAAACTGCTAGTAGTTATAATCCTCCAACTTCAATAATGCCAAAAGCCCCATATACACACACACACACTAGTAGTTATAATCCTTCAACTTCAGTAATGCCAAAGGCCCCATAGCTATATATATATGTATTCTAAATTATCTGTTTTGCCTTTTACAACTGCAATTCTATGTTTGAATCAAAATGAATCTATACGTCATAGAAAAAGGGAATGAGGAGGGAAGGGGGAGAAGCTCAAAGAACTCAACATTATCCTTCAGTTCTAAATTTAAAATTTATTGCTGCAAATAATAGCGACAATGGTCTTTGTCAAGCATTCACCAGTTACAATCAAAGGAAAGGAACCTTCCATTTGAAACAGCAAGAAGATAACATATTCCATTGCTAACTACCTTCATCTCCTTTCTGATGTCATTG